GCCAATACTAAACCAATTCTAAAGTAGATATTTTCCTGCCCGTACTCAAATCCAGCCCCATTAGGGGGACCCCGGGGGCACGTTTCCTTTACTACGGCTGTACTACAAAGTTGCGACTTTCGAGCCAGAGCTCCGGGAGCACGTTTCCTTTACTACGGTTGTACTACAAAGTTGCGACTTTCGAGCCAGAGCTCCGGGAGCACGTTTCCTTTACTACGGCTGTACTACAAAGTTGCGACTTTCAAGCCAGAGCTCCGGGAGCACGTTTCCTTTACTACGGTTGTACTACAAAGTTGCGACTTTCGAGCCAGAGCTCCTTACTCAGAAATGTGCGTTTGAAGCGATTTTACGGAACGGAACAGGGGGACCACAGTTGCAAACAAGCCTACACAGAACAAGAAGCACCTCCAAAACCTGCCCTCCAGAACCAGGGGACCCCCTAATAATAAAAAATGTTTTGCAGGCCGGGTATTTTTTTTATTAGGGGGGGGGGGGGGGGGGGGGGGGGCGTCGTTTATTATTAGGGGGAAGGGATTAATGGGATAAGTATTTACCCTAAAGGGTGACACCCACCCACCCCCACACCCCCACACCCCCACACCCACACACCCACACACCCACACACCCAAAACCCACCCACCCACCCACCCACCCGCCCGCATGCACGCACGCACGCACGCACGCACTCACCCACACCCACACCCACACCCACACCCACCCCCACCCCCACCCCCACCCCCCACAACCACCCACACCCACCCACACCCCCCCACACCCACACACACCCACCCACACCCACCCACGCCCACCCACCCACACCCACCCACACCCACCCACACCCACCCACACACATCCACTCACACCCACCCACACCCACCCCCAGCCACCCGCTCGCCGACCCTCGCGTCCTGCAGGGCTGCTGTGGCCGCCACATCCACCGAGTCCGCGACTGGCAACGGGGCCGGGTTTTGCGCCACGTACGTTTTCTCCTCAACGTCACCTAGGTCCTCCAGTAGAGAGGTTAGAATAAGTTGGTACCCGATTTTTTCTGTAGTCTGTTTTAGTAGGGGAACCCTCCCCCAAAAAAAGGGTAAAAGGGCACGACTGGAGGACCTTGTCACCTAAGGAGAATCACAACTTGGCGACCCAAAGATGGTCCGACTTCCGCTTCCCAAAGAAACATGGGGAGCATGGTAACACTTGAGCGGGTGATTTAGGTTCTTTTCACGGACGCACTGATCGAGGGGGTCAATCGGAACCTGATGCAAAGAAGCCGAGTTAAAAAAGGCTTACCCTTTGGGGACATGGGAAAATGGGGTCTGTTTCTGCTTGTGGGATTTCCATTTCGCTTCCTCACCCTGCCCAAGACAAATGTAGACTTCCGTCACGGTGCCCAAAAAGTGCTCTCAAGTCCAAACGCGGCGGCGCCTGCCTGGCAATGTCACTCAGAAATCCTAACCCCCCTGGCTGAGGTCAAGATTTAAACAGTAGGGGCCCGGCCCAAAGAATTTGGTTTCCCTCACCAACCATAAGAAGCGTACCCTCAAAAACAAACACACATGAGAAAGCCATGTGTCCGATCTTTGCCCAAAACCAAACAAACTATCGCGAGTACATATGATGGGAGGGGGTGCGTGCCAGCACGTGTAGAAGTCCGACGGAACTCCAGCGCGCCGTACCCCTGTTGCTTTATTGGCTCCATGTGCAAAGTTGCTATGATTGGTCGAGAATAGGGTAGCCGCTGTGCGGCGTGCCCGTCCTCCCCACTCGCAGCTCTGCTGAGACAACCGCTCATACGCCGCTCTGGCGTTACTGCCGTCTTTTGGCACTGGAGTGCGCTCGATCCTGATGCCTCTGCTCAAGAAGGATAAGCTAGCATCAGCGCCGCCCCTTGCTCCCAGTGGAGGAACTCCGACGCGGCGCCATGAATGGGCAGCTCCGTATCCTATGTAGGACTCCCCCGCGTTGAAAGACACGTAGAACTCTGCCATTTGGCAGTGCCAGATCGGGGGAATTGAACTGGACACAAAAGCAGTCCAGAAGAAAAGATGTTGTGGTAGAAAGCAGGGCCTCCAAAGAGGTTGCTGGTCCGTCTGAAGATTCAAGCCAATCGCAAGGATAAGGTGTAATGCGAATGCGCAACACACCAACTTTCTCTCACACACACACACACACACACGCACACACACGCACACACACGCACACACACATGCACACACCCACAGCCTGTTGGCTTTCTTTTGACAGGGAGGGGCCAGGTTTGCTCGGTGCCAAATCGCCAGTCATTTCCCCCCCGCTTGTTTATCCCCAGTCAGACAAATCAACTCTTGGCAACTTGAAATAACACCTTCAGAACCCCCGAAAACTTGGCGCCATTGCAGTCATCCCCTTGAAGTGACGCAATACCCAACCCCCCGACACCGAAACTAGCCGCCCACCTCTCGGCGCCCTCACCTGCAAGGTCTTCCCAAGGAGCCGAGGCTCAAAGCGAGAATCTGTCGCCTTCAAAAACAAAACCCGACAAAATCCCGTTCGCGCCACTTGGATATTTATAGGGTTGCATTCAACTGCAGAAATCGTCCAGAGTCTGAGGCGACCATTCATTAACCGCTTCTTCATCCAAGTCAGGGTGGTTGATTCGTAGGGTGGTGGCATAGATGGTTTGGCCAACACCTGGACACAGAACATGTCAGTTTCTTCTAATTCTGCGGGAAAAACAAAATAGTATTGGAGGAGACCCCGGAATCTGCCATGAATCGCATATTTGTTTCACTCCCAAGTTGAGGGGCCATTCGAACACGGCATGGGTTGATAGCTGAGGACGTACTGTCATTTCAATTCCAGCAGATCGCACGACGCAAAGTATCGAAAGTATGCCGGGTGGATTGAACCGAAAGAGATCGTGAGCAGCGCCCAGAACCGATTCCCAACGGACATGTTTGGTCCTACCTTTTACCTGGCTTCATAAAGAATGCAGTACAAGGCCTATAGAAACCTCCTGTCCGCGGAGTCCGCATGCTGTTGGAACCCAACGTTAATCTTACCCCTTAAAACTCCAAGCCCTGGGGAAGTTAATCTTTTACAGACATATAGCCCATGTTACCCCAAAAAAAAAAGCTGTTGAAAAGTTGTGTTTTTAAGAGGTAAGTAATGGATAGGTTTTAAAGTATAGTACGTGTTCTATGCTTTGGCGCGTCCCTCCCGCCTGTGGCGCCTTCGATGACCTCAGGGACAGAAAAAAAGACGCGCGCATTCCCGGCTCAAGGGACAAATCGCCTGCGGGGAAAGAAAAGACACGGGGGGCTGTGCGTGAATGTGTTTCCTGGTTGGGGCCATCCAAAAACCAAGCCAAGGGACGCTTGAAAAGCGCGTGCCCCCATTCAAACAAAAGCAAACGCGCTTGGGGTTTCTGCACTCTTAGGGATCCATCTTGCAAACGAGTCTGATGCACCTGTGTCAACAAAAAAAGACTTTGCCTTGACAACATTCAATTGCCTTTTAGAGTTGGAGGGGGTGGTCTTAGCAACCGCGAAAATGGTAAATGGGTGGAAACATGGCGCACCGAAAGGGTGCGACTTTGGAATCCTCGAGAAATGGAGCTCCACCCAGATCCCTGAAGCAAATGAAACTCGAAAGAGGAAGGTGGTCACAGTTTCCTCCATCTCCCCGTATGAAACCTGCAAAAGTGGCAGGTTCAACAGAAACCACCATTACAGAAATCTAGTGATCCTGGTTGTCCCTGCACGTGGGATCCAGTGAAATGGACGTGGGACATTTGGCATCCCGTCCCCCTGGCTTTCTGGCTGAGGTTTAGTGCGTCCCTCATGTTCCGAACCCTAGCAGGGCCATAAATAGTTAAAGTTCGCCAATGTGAGTCAGCGTCAAAACCATTTGTTGGAAGTGCATTCATGCGACGTTGGGACGTCCCTTATCGTTTTGAAGTTTGTGGTCCGGTCAGACCATTGAACTGTCACCATGTTGACACCACGCAGTCTCCTGGCTGCCCGTTCATGTGTTTTCTTCTTCTGTCTCAGATGAGTTCAGACGTTCAGCGCTGTATGTCACGGTTTCACTGCCATTTTCGCAGGCAGCAATGCAAGACCTCATTTATTTCATGCACGCTGGCACTTGCTTGATTTGCATGCGTTGCATGCTTTGTTCTGCTTCGTCAGTTTGAACCTCTTTTGCTGTTGCCGCGGGGTTCTGTGTCTGGGTCGGAATCCCTCTGTCTTTTGTACGCCGCCATGTTGCAATACAAAACCCCATCCTGTCGTCACCGCTCTTTTGTCGCTTGGTTGGCTCCCCGGCCGCCATGGGCCCTTTTCGCGGCTGCTTGGGGCTGGGTCGTGTCTTCCCCGTTTTCCTCTTGAGTTCTTCTTGCCAGTTCTTAATCCATGAATTCAGGCAGTGAGTGACTAGGTCCTCCAGTAGAGAGGTTGGAACAAGTTGGTACCAACTCTTTTCTGTAGTCTATTTTAGTAGGAAAAAAACCCTCCCAGCCCAAAAAAAGAAACGGTAAAAGTTGGCACCTAGCTGGGGGACCTAGTAGTCCATGATTCGGTAGTCTATTTTAGAAGGGGTCCCCCTCCCAACCAAAAAAGAAACATATTATATATGATAAACATAAAAAAAAAAAAAAAAAAAAAAAAAAAAAATCAAAATTAACATATTCCTACATCTCCCTAAATCCTAATATGTTATTTATAAACCAATAATAAACGGCGAGAAAGGGCACCAATTGCTGGAAGACCTCGGAGTGACCCCCCCAGGTTCGGGTCCCAATGGGTGGGGATCCCTTCGAGCGCCCGGGCAGCTTCCTCCAGAGCTGGCTGCTGGTCAGGGCCTGCGAGAAGCCGAGGCTGTCCGATGGACATGGGGAGCCAACCTCTGCTGTTGACTCACTTGGTGGCTCAAAATGCCGGAATTTTCCAAAATGGAAGCCTGGCAAGTGGAAACATGGGCCAAAACCTGCGTAACCCCGCCTGCTGAAAAAATGACATCACCCCACTCAAAGGAAGCTCAGACTTTGAGGACGAAAAGGTGATGACTGGTTGCGGCAACGACCCCCGCTGCAATAAGTTTCTGTCTTTTCGTGGGTTTAGCGGAAAGCAAAAAAGTCTAAAGTTCCAACCCCAAAAGATCTTTTTGTGGCTTGGATCTGTTTTCTTTTTGGGGAAATCTCTTTGTTGGATCTTCATTTCAACAAAAGTCTAAAGATCCGTTGCCCAATAATTCAATAGCAGTCCAATTGCAAAGCTCCGTGGCCCAAAGGCCAAAGGAAATCGAGGCTTGACCCATGGCTTTGGAGCCTGGAAGAAATGAACAAAATGTCCAGTAGTGAAAGTGTTTCCATTTAAACCAGCAAGGTGTTTGTTCTTCTTGTTTTTTAAACATGTTCGTTTCCGCAAATGGCTGCCATTTGGAACCTTGACGAAATGTGGACTCCAGGGAAACCAAAAGATCACAAGGTCGATTCGCTCTCGACACGTAAGACAGGGCTCCCATTTCACCATCATTGGCTTGTGAACCCAAGGGACACGAACTGAAACCCACTCAGCTTTATGGTTCGCCGAAAGATGACAAACAGTTGCAACCAAAGAACCAACCACAGACACAACCAAAGAAACAAACTAACAACAAGCTAACATATACAACAAAACAAACCACCAAACAAACACACACAAACAAATACACCAAAAAACAGTCAAACAAAACAAACTACCAAAAAACAAAACAAGGCACAAGCTGCAGTCCTGATCTGTCCAAATCCATTGCGTAAACCGCCAGGTTGCAACCGACGAAACTAAGCCCTGTGACAGCAGAGCCATGATGAACCATGGCTGCAACCTACCCTCACTGGCTGCGTAGATGGCCCAAAAAGAGTCCAAACCTTTTGTTTGTTTTCCACTAAAACGGTCTTCCCAAAAAGTTTAAAGTTCATGAACTCAGGAACTGAGTACCTACGAACTGGTTTTGCTCTGTTCTTCTTGACGGTGCCAATTGAAACCAGGAAACCCACCATTTTGGTGGGTCCCCCTAAGACAAGGAAAACAGGGCCATATGGGGCAGTGCCAAAAGGGTCTATCCTCTTCTGAGCTCATGTGAAGCTCAACAACTTTGTTTTTAGCACCCAGTGATGCCCAAGCTATATTTGTGCCCCACCCGGGCCCAACACAGGACGAGGTTGAACAAAAGGAAGCTTCCTTCCTCATACCCCAGCCCTTTCCTTGCAAAAAAAACAACAAAAAAGAACAAGACGCGAAAACAATGGGTGGTGTTGGATTTGGATTCGCGGTTTCTTCTCGAGGGAGAAAAAAACCATCAGAGGGAGGCCAAAAGGACCACCTCTGCCAGCACAAGCCACGCACCGCGCATTTCTGCCAGGCGGGCCTCTTCCCCTTCAACAACCACTGACCCACAAAAGCGTACCTAGTAACCTACTCAAAAAAACACCCGTGCCAACTCTTGTCCCGGAAAAGCGCTTTCTTCCGCCTGGGTTCCTTGGTTCAGATTCTGTTTCATATTTGGCCGGCCTCAAACTACAAGACAAATTTGGAGACCGCAGCTTCCCCTGCAAGTTCTGATCACTGCTCCACCTCTCCTCTGACGCGTCCAGCACCGCCAAGACGTGCTTTGCCACCTAGGCGTAACAGGGGAAGCCCACCGGAAGCTTGTTGAGTGAGTTTAACCCCTCGTAGGGTTGTTTACCAGGCAACCAAAAAGGGACGACCTCCAACTTTCATCAGCCAAATAGTCTACCAATCTCTCCTTGAAATAGCACCCAAGCGACAAGCGACACTTGCCTTAATTTGGCGTGTTTAAAACCCGCAACAAGGGAAACACAGGGACCCTGCATCATCTGCCAAGTTCTATGTTTATTTGCGTCCAAGACTGGGGCCTTTTGGTGGGTTCCTTGTGAATGTCAACACCTCAGTGACGTAGAACCTGGTGGATTGTTTGCTTTTTTTGGATTTGCTAACAGAGAGGCAGGCCCTCCCCGAGGAGACATCCCCAACAAGGGGTGTTTCCTTTTATTCTGAGTTCCCACTACGAGGGAACCAACCAGAAGGTCCTTTACCATACATGTCTGACTTGCAGAAAAAGTCAAGCAGCGTAGCTGGAATACTCAGGTTCGAACGAGCGGGCTGGCCAAACAAAAATAGAACTGTTTGTTTACAACGGCTGATTTAGTCAAGGTTCAGTCCTAAACCTAGGATCTAGTCATAATATTTTCCTTCTTCATCAGCCTGCAGCCAACATGTAAAACTCAGGCACCCTTTTTGGTTGGTTGACTTTGAAGGGGAATCCTTCCCCAAAAAAAGGGGGGGAAAAAAGGGCACCACTGGGCAACTGGGAAGATGTTACGCAAGTTGAACCGGGCCAACACGTTTTTTGCCAAGTGCAACGCCCAGAAACTCGGGCGGCTTTGAACTGCTCCCCTTTGCCCCTGAAAAGTGCTCGCGGGAGCCCCGGCCGCCATATCCACCTTGCACTTGAGCAGAATCTCCTGGCCAAAGCAGCGGCCCGTGTTTCCCATTTGCTGAGATGCGGGACAGGGCTGTGGTTGAAATGGAATCCACGAATCTGTGATACAACAAAAAGAGCTTCCCAAAGACCAACCCATATAAAGGGGGATTCTCTTGTATCACAAACTAGGTCCTCGAGTAGTTTGAGGTTGGAACAAGGGTACCAACTTTTTCTGTAGTCTATTTGAGTAGGGGAACCCTCCCCCAAAAAAGTTGGTAAAAGGGCACTACTGGGGGACCTAGCAAAAGTGGGGAATAAGCCCCATCCCACAAGCCTGGTTAGGGAGGTGTGCCTAAACCCTTGCGCCCTCAAGCTACCTGCTTCGCCTGAAATAATTACTTCACAAACGGATCCAACCGCAACCAGTGGAAACCAAGTCCGACAGTGCGAATGGGTGTTACTCACTTGGGTGTGGCTCAAGATTAAAGAGCTAGGGTTACGCAGCTTCTAGTCTTTGGTTGCATTTACCAAGGTGCCATTTTGGTACATTTATTTGAGCCACAGCCACTTGAAGTCCCATGGGATTGCTGGCTCTTGGGACTTGCAATCCTGAAGCATTCCATGTGGCATCAGTTGAGGCGCTTAGCTTCTGGGTCGAATTATTGGTCAAAGTTCAAGCCTGAGCCAAAGTTCAACCCTGAACCAATCATCTCACCCGACATTGACCGTTCTTTCATTGATTCATTGCCAGCTTGTTTGAGCCACGGTCAAACTATGTTGTGTCCAGACGGGGAGCCTTCGGAGTTCTGCAGGAGCTCTTTTCTTCTCTCCCCAATGGGCCATGGACTGCAGCCGGCGGTTTCATTTAAGCTTGGGTGACGTTGGGAGGGGAGGAACAAAAATAAATCTTAGCAGCTAAGTGGTTGGATTTCAACCACTAAATCACAAGAAGCAAAGATGGGAAACATGTTTTCCAACAACCATGAAGTAAGGAGACCAAAGCCTGGGTGCAGTCCCTGACCCCTTACTGACCAACAAGTTTTCTAATTGGCCCAAGGGAACAGGAACGAACTTCACCTTTTGGCGCCCAAAGGGCAAAACCTTGGTTGCTGCAACGACCCCCCTGCAAAAAGTGAATCACTTTTTTTGGGGGGGGTTAGTGGAAAACCCATTTGTTGTCCAAAAAGTTAGTGTCTAAAGATCCAACCCAATAGCAATGAAGAAACATGCACCAAAAACAACCAAACAGGTCAGATCCGGTTGATTGGCTTTGGGCAACAGCAAGTGAGATGCTGGGGACACCTCTTTCTCACCCTTGGGGTAGCTTCGGGGTATGTACCCTTTATATGTGACCCGTATATTGTATTAAACCCCGGCAGCTTCGGTTGATCGGCCATGGCCAGTCGCTCACCGCTCGCCTCCAGGTGGCTCTTGCTCACACGTCCCCCGGCCTGAGTCATGGCCATCCGGGATTTTTGGGTACCCCACCAACCCCCTTTCACACGTGGAGCCTGCCGAATTTCGATGTTTGAGTACCCTCCCACCGACTCTTAACTTGTGGAACCCTTCGAATTGGGGGGTGTTCCCGGTGGAACAAGAGTCGCACTGTTCACTGATGGAACGATTGAAAATGAGGCGGGGGGGGTGGGGGATCCTGGTGGTGTGGACCATTTTCCTCTTAAAGGGGCCAGTTCCCGAACGTCGGGTTCCATGTGAAAAGGGTGGGAGGCATGTCTTTTTGGGAGTTGGTACCCCGTTTGGAATGGTTTCAAAGAGGTACCAGGAGAAAAGCCGATGCCATGTTTTTGGGGCCCCCTAAAAAACACAGACACCCATTTGTTAAACAACATGCCGTCAATGAATCTTCAGCTGAAACACATGCTGTGAACAAAAACAACTCTTTTTGGAGATCTGCACCGCTTTTTTGTGTTGCATGCTCATGTTGCTTCAGCAGGATCATGCCTGGAACTGAAGGATGCCTGCAGCCACCCTTCAATTCAGACAAATAATCATCCAAGAAAAACGATAATGGTCGCTACGTAGCTCGGTAAGTGGATTCTTCAAAAATGGGACGGATCCCTGATCCTGATCCCCAATTCGTAGTAGAACGCTACGACTAGCTGGAGCATCTGGCGTACAGCTTGAGGACTGATTCACCCAGCGTACAGCCCATCCACAAGAGGAAAGAAACACCCAGACCCATGCAATGTCACCAATCTCTCTGAAATTCGAGCGCGCTTTACAAGCGAAGCACGGGTAAGCAGCAAGCAAGTCTCAGGTGCGCTTTGCAATATGCAAAAAACAAAACTCATAGCTTTTTAGACAGCTGCAGCCGAACCTCTTCGACAATGCATCGGGTGGTGAAGTAAGCCACCAAAAACTTAACGGGGATCCGTACACTATACACCTGAACATTGCCTTGTCAATGGTGGTTTCCCTTTATTTCGGTGGAAAAAGCCATGTTTCAAATGGGCAAAATGTGTCTTTTAAGGAGCCCTCATCAGCTGGTGAAGTAAGCCCGAAAGGGCTTAACATGTCGCACGTTCAGCGGCAGCCGGGAGCTTCAGTCTGCTTCAATCCACTTGGCAAAAAATACTTTCTTTGCACGGTTTGTGGAAAACAAAGTGGACCCCAAAAAAGCGAAACAAAAAATCAAAAAGGGGAACTAAATCTGGGGAAGAATCCAGAGGGCACCAGGCAGCATTTATTTGTCTCAAGACCTGACCACGTTGAATCCATCTGAGGCCTCACCCACATACTACTCGGGTCAGTCTTCCTTCGATACTATTTGTAAACCTACTATGTTGCTGCAATAGTGCCGTGCCATGCCAACATTCAAATGCATGATGCACACACACAACAGGACTTTGCACATGCCGATGCATGTCCATATGCGTACGTGAGTAGACATGCATTTTTTTATGCACGTATGCGTGCATGAAGATTTGATTCAAGAGATTCTCCAGGGCTCACTTGATCCCTTTGGGCCTGAAAATGAAATGTTAACTTTTTTGGAACCTTGACGCAAAAGAAGCCATCATGTGAAAACCAAGAGGTCAAGTTTCTATCGGACACTTCCCCATTCTTTCCAGTGATCCTTCTTTCCAGAAAACCATCAGAGCCCCAGGTGAAACAGCTGGTTGTTGAAAAGAGCGATGGTTGAAAAGAATGCGGAATCAACCCCTAGAAAGTTGCCCGGGGTTCGACCAGCGAGAGGGAGACGCCCAGATACAGGTCTTCATCAGCCCTCTGGCCCAGCAGTTAGCCGCCGGCCTTACATTGATGGTCTGAACATAGTGCCCCCAAACCTGAAAAGGGCATGTACCAGGCAACTAACAAGGCCCCAAAGGAACAGGAAGCAAAAAGCCGTGTTTTGGGTCCATAAAGGTATGGACCAAATCAGGGAAAACAAAAGGCTAAGAGGTCGACTTGCTCTGGACAACTGCTGGTTTGGATTCGGGGTCCAGAATTTCGGGGCGGGTTCCCATTTAAGCTCTCTACTCAAATCCAAATCCAAACCACCAGTTAAGGATTACCTGAACTAGGGTTGCCAACTCCAAACAAAGACAAAAGTGGGGGCTTTCCAAACATGGTGTTCATGTCCCTTTGGCTTCACGTGACATCAACCTGAACCCTGGGGTTCAATCCCAATTAAAAGAATGGCTGATCCAATTTTGATGATGGTGAAAGTACCAACTTCGCCTCAACAAAACATCCAGTTTTTTCTCAGGGACCCCCCAAAATGGCGCAACCTTTCTCCCTTTTTTTTGGGGGTTTTCCTTTCAGCCAACCCCCAAAACGGCACCACCTCCAAACAGAGAACGTCCCAGCCATCCGCCCACAAACCCGCTGAAAGCCCCCCCCTCCCGGCCTCCGAGATGCTCTGCTCCAGGTGCCGCCACACGCATCCCCTGGACTACGAGCTGTCCCGTTTCACCCGCCCGAAGGACCACCCCCTAATTTGTTGGGGCGTGAGCGGCGTTTAGCCAGGGACCGGCCAAACAAACGGGGATAAAGGATGTGACTGGGTGTGTAAAATCCAAGAAAGCCCACCACAATGCATGAAGATGCCACTAGAAATGCCCTGAACTTGGCCAGTTTGGTTCGAACCATGGGGTCCGAAGTTCGCACCTCCCGCCGACGAACAGGGTGTAAGATGTGCAACTTTGTTGTAGAAGACCAGGGTGAAAGTGGATGCCGCAATTCCCGTGTGGTTGTGGGTTAAAAATAGGTACCCAAAATGGAACCCTAGTAAATGGAACCAAAGACTGAAACCTGCGGTCACCTGGCTAAATTTTGACTCATACCCATGTGGGTAAGGCGGATGACTTCTACCAAAATGAATGAATTCGCAATCTACTTCCACAGCGCAGCTTCTGCGCCTCACTTTTTCATGGGAGGGTTCGGGAAGCCCATGCGCCCAAAAACGAATCCAAAGGAAGCACTCTACAACCAAGACAACAAACGTACATCAAACACAATAAGTTGTAGGTGTGTGTGTATATATATATATATATGTATATATGTGTATGTGTGTGTGTGTGCATGAGTATATGTACATATATAGACACGTATATGTGCCCCCCCCCCCGCCCCAACCAGAAAAACACACACGTACCAAATTTGTATCTCTCGCCCTCTCTCTGTCTCCCCCACCTGCCCCCCCCCCCCCTTCCCCCCACCACCCACCCCGCGTTACCTGCCCGGCCAACGAAGAAACGGAAGTCTTCGGCCGCTTGGAAGCGTCTTTTGCGTCCTTTGGGTCCCAGGCAGTGCGGAGCGCGCCAGGACCTTCACAATGCACAGGCCCAGCGTGTCGTTTTGAGGCTCCTCCATCCTCAGTGGGAATGAGGATCGTTTTTTTTTTTTGCAGCTTCCCTCCAATTCGTGGTTTGGAGCCGAATCGGCGGTTTTCATTCCCACATCCCCTACTGAGCACCAGCAAGACAAGGAACAAGGAAACCATCTGCTTCCGTATTGCCGTGCTAGAAGACTTGTTCCACTCCTATTGAAATCTTCGCCTCTGGTTCCTCATTTGGGCTCAACCAACCGCCGATTAAAATCAACGTTCAAAGACCTATGTCAAACTGCTTCCTGTTGGCTCCCCTTTTGAGGATACTCAAGTTGCTCAAAGGAGCTGGAAATAAAAGACTAGCCGTCTGAGGCCATGACTAACAATTGAGACAAATTGGGAAACAACAGGTCAAAAGGTCGGCAAGTGAGGGAAAAACAGAGCCACAGCAAATGGAGCCACAGCTACAAAAAAACGCAATGTGACTCTGGGCTCACTTTCTAAGCGGATTGGCCAAAAGAGTCCTAGCAACTTTCAAACCTCCCCCCGCCCGGCCCAATAATTAAACAACAAGGGGGGCTAATGAATCCTGGTGCCCAGTACCCATGTTGAGAACACATCCCAATCCCCACCAAAATAGGTTCTGACATGGATTGGCTTTGCACCTACCCCAAAATGGATTGGTTTTAAGAACACATCCCAATCCCAAATCAGTTTTGCACCTACCAACCAAAAAAAGGACGGGTTTTCGCACGGCCATTTTCATCCCAAGCCGTAAGCCACCGCCCATCCAAGCGATCACTCCGCCAGGCGGCTTCCGCAGCAGCTCCAGCGGCCGGGCGCCCGCCTCCACCAGCTCCCGCACCGTGCCCAGGGTCCTGGGCTTCGCGGCGAACGGCCGCAGGTCCGGTGGAGACGGGTTGGCTCACTTGCCCCAAACGGGACCCAGAACTAAAAGGTGATCACCTTTTGGGACCTTTACTAAAACTAGACCACAAAGGAGCAACCAAAGGGTCAGATCAGGCCGATACTGAGGTTAGAAGAAGTCTCCGTGCCGACTGTTCTTTCTGCAGGGGTTTTTTAAGCCAGGGGAAGCCTCGCCGGAAAAGAACACGACCGGAACACCTCGGGCTTTCTCCACTTTGTTCTGTCTGTTTTTTTCCGTGGGGCTTGCCCTCCCAACCCAAAAACAAGAAACGGTAGAAGGGCAGTAATGTTAACCCCGGAAAAAAAAAGAACCCCTGGTTGATTCATAGGGGGGTGTCCCCTTTTAGTGGGGATTCAGACCACTTTTGGAGGGGAACCCTCCCAACCAAAAAAAACACGGTAAAAGAAACGGCACCAAGCCGGGGGACCTGGACCCAAAGTGGCCATGGGGGGATTGGTTCAAGCAGAATGCTCGAAATGCTCGACAGCCTGCCAGCGCTGGGAACCTAATCCATTCAAATCTAAACACGACACGCTGAACAGTCTACCTGTCGGGCTGGGAACCTAATCCATTCAAATCCAAACGCAACATGCTGAACAGTCTACCTGTCGGGCTGGGAACCTAATGCATTCAAATCCAAACGCAACATGCTGAACAGTCTACCTGTCGGGCTGGGAACCTAATCCATTCAAATCCAAACGCAACATGCTGAACAGTCCACCTGGAGGGCTGGGAACCTAAACACGACACGCTGAACTCTACCGGTCGGGCTGGGAACCTAATCCATTCAAATCCAAACGCAAAATGCTGAACAGTCCACCTGGAGGGCTGGGAACCTAATGCATTCAAATCTAAACACAAAATGCTGAACAGTCCACCTGTCGGGCTGAAAACCTAATCCTTCAAATCCAAACGCACCATGCTGAACAGTCCACCTGGAGGGCTGGCAACCTAGTCCATTCAAATCTAAACACGAAATGCTGAACAGTTCACCTGGAGGGCTGGGAACCTAATCCATTCAAATCTAAACACAAAATGCTGAACAGTCCACCTGTAGGGCTGGGAACCTAATCCATTCAAATCTAAACACAAAATGCTGAACAGTCCACCTGGAGGGCTGGGAACCTCATCCATTCAAATCTAAACACAAAATACTGAACAGTCCACCTGTAGGGCTGGGAACCTAATCCATTCAAATCTAAACACAAAATGCTGAACAGTCCACCTGGAGGGCCGGGAACCTAATCCAGTCAAATCTAAACACAAAATGCACCTGTAGGGCTGGGAACCTAATCCATTCAAATCTAAACACGAAATGCTGAACAGTCCACCTGTAGGGCTGGGAACCTAGTCCATTCAAATCTAAACACAACATGCTGAGCAGTCCACCTGTAGGGCTGGGAACCTAATCCATTCAAATCTAAACACAAAATGCTGAGCAGTCCACCTGTAGGGCTGGGAACCTAATCCAGTCAAATCTGAACACGAAATGCTGAACAGTCCACCTGTAGGGCTGGGAACCTAATCCATTCAAATCTAAACACGAAATGCTGAACAGTCCACCTGTAGGGCTGGGAACCTAATCCATTCCACCTGGAGGGCTGGGAACCTAATCCATTCAAATCTAAACGCAAAATGCTGAACAGTCCACCTGTAGGGCTGGGAACCTAATCCGTTCAAATCTAAACACAAAATGCTGAACCTAATCCATTCAAATCTAAACACAAAATGCTGAACAGTCCACCTGTAGGGCTGAGAACCTAATCCATTCAAATCTAAACACAAAATGCTGAACAGTCCACCTGTAGGGCTGGGAACCTAATCCATTCAAATCTAAACACAAAATGCAGAACAGTCCACCTGGAGGGCCGGGAACCTAATCCAGTCAAATCTAAACACAAAATGCACCTGTAGGGCTGGGAACCTAATCCATTCAAATCTAAACACAAAATGCTGAACAGTCCACCTGTAGGGCTGGGAACCTAATCCATTCAAATCTAAACACAAAATGCTGGACACTCCACCTGTAGGGCTGGGAACCTAATCCATTGCCTAATCCATTCAAATCTAAACACGAAATGAAATGCTGAATAGTCCACCTGTAGGGCTGGGAACCTAATCCATGCATCTAAACGCAAAATGCTCAGCAGTCTACCTGTAGGGCTGGGAACCTAATCTATTCAAATCTAAACACAAAATGCTGAACAGTCCACCTGAAGGGCTGGGAACCTAGTCCATTCAAATCTACACACGAAATGCTGAACACTCTACCTGTAGGGCTGAGAACCTAATCCATTCAAATCTAAACACAAAAAATGCTGAACCGTCCACCTGGAGGGCTGGGAACCTAGTCCATTCAAATCTACACACGAAATGCTGAACACTCTACCTGTAGGGCTGGGAACCTAATCCATTCAAATCTAAACACACAAAATGCTGAACAGTCCACCTGTAGGGCTGGGAACCTAGTCCATTCAAATCTACACACGAAATGCTGAACCCTCTACCTGTAGGGCTGGGAACCTAATCCATTCAAATCTACACACGAAATGCTGAACACTCTACCTGTAGGGCTGGGAACGTAATCCATTCAAATCTAAACACAAAAAATGCTGAACAGTCCACCTGTAGGGCTGGGAACCTAGTCCATTCAAATCTACACACGAAATGCTGAACACTCTACCTGTAGGGCTGGGAACCTAGTCCATTCATCTAAACGCAAAATGCTCAGCAGTCTACCTGTAGGGCTGGGAACCTAATCTATTCAAATCTAAACACAAAAAATGCTGAACAGTCCACCTGAAGGGCTGGGAACCTAGTCCATTCAAATCTACACACGAAATGCTGAACACTCTACCTGTAGGGCTGAGAACCTAATCCATTCAAATCTAAACACAAAAAATGCTGAACAGTCCACCTGGAGGGCTGGGAACCTAGTCCATTCAAATCTACACACGAAATGCTGAACACTCTACCTGTAGGGCTGGGAACCTAATCCATTCAAATCTAAACACAAAAAATGCTGAACAGTCCACCTGTAGGGCTGGGAACCTAGTCCATTCAAATCTACACACGAAATGCTGAACACTCTACCTGTAGGGCTGGGAACCTAGTCCATTCATCTAAACGCAACATGCTGAACAGTTTACCTGTCGGGCTGGGAACCTAATCCATTCATCCAAACGGAACATGCTGAACAGTCTACCTGTACGGCTGGGAACCTAATCTATTCATCTAAACGCAACGTGCGTACTAGTTGGCGTACTAGTTGGTTTAACAGTCTACCACTCTTGCTGGCTGGGAATCGCTAAGCTAAGTTAGAGGGGTTTAGATCCTATGACCATCACCTCCTCTGCAAATCGTAGGGCAAACACCGCGAAGACCACAACCTGTTGGAAAATAGATGGCCCTAGTTGATTCACCAGGTGAACCTATTCATCAACCAGGGGTTCTGCTTAATCCGAACCTAACAACCTCTACGCTTCGCTCCCCCGAGACCTCGACCTCGCGACCTCGACCTCGAGCCAGGCGTCTGCTCCCGGCGCGTGCCAGCGGCCACCGCCAGCACCGACACACCCCGCCGGTCTGCCGCCTCCGCTGAGGCGCGAACCGCGCGCTCGGCCAAACGGGTGGCAGAAGGGCGGCGTGCGTGTGCTTCCTTGGCTGGAACTAGGACCCCGGCAAAAAATACACTCTTTCTTGCCTGGTTAGTGGAAAGCAAAGGGGACCCCAAAAAATCAAACATCAAAAGGGGGAACTGGGGAAGTTTCAAGCGCTAAATGGTTTGGTCGATGGCACTTGCGATGTAGGCCACATGGAGACCGCGGCTTTTCAGTATTGGCTCAAGATGCATTGAATGATCCATAAGTGTTCAGGACTCAGACCCCGGCAAAAGTTAGCCTTTACAGTTGAAGCTGAAAGATGAAACAACTCCAAAATAAAAGGCAAAAAGGTGAGCGAAGTCTGGCAAGGCATATACAGGTTTGTCTGAAAATGAGGAACCCCCCAACATGGTTGGTTTCCCGCTGGCTTCCCTTTAAAACCGAAAGGAGGTCCTTTAAATCATACTGTGGGTGGACGAAACCCTGCACATCTAAGAAACCCTCAAATGATGATGCCGCTGCAAATGCCAGCAAACAATGGTGTCCCATGATTTCAAAGTGGGGCAGGAATTAGCAACCATCGCTTGTCCTCTCTCCTAAGAAGGACAACTATGATCCAATTTACCAGGTTTGCTACCCAAACTAACCGATCCAAAGGACACCTATAAATGTCTTTACAGGCCGCTTTCTATCAGCAAATTTGGATACCAGCTCCCTTCGTTGCGCTCTCCAACCACCAGATAGCTATGGCCGGCAACACGTTTCCAATAAAGGCCATACTGTGGATGGTTGCGAAATCCATTTCGCAGCAACTGAGAAACCATGGTTGAAACCAATAGTTCTTTATTATCTGTTCTTACAGGGAATCGAATCAGAAACCAGGGTTTCTGAACAGTGGTGGGAGAAGCGGATTTCGCCACCATCCACAGCTATGGCCTACCTGGCCGTACCTGGCCCCACTATCTTACAATTATCAAAGGCACCCCCACCAAGTGGTAGGCTCAAGGGCGCAAACCTCAGTTTCTGACTTTGATCATCTCCCAAAACAGCCAAGATAGCGGCCATGAACCCCAACGAAGGCCATCGATCACAGTGCTCCCTACATTTCGCCTTAAAACATCATCCCCACCAAATGAAACGCACCTTTCACGGGCCAAAAAAGGTGATGTTTCAAACCACCAAGAGGGAAATAACTTGGGACCCTGGGTCATTCGGTTCGCCTCGGGGTCGCTGCGGAACTTCAGCAGCTGCCTGACGGCGCCTTGGTCCGCACGGCTGGCCGCCAGCCAGAGACAGGTGCGGCCCTGGGGGTCCTGGGCCTAGCGCCAGCGCTTGAAAACGAGTGCGACGGAGGGGGGCGGGTGGGTGGGAGAGGAAACTCGCTTTCGAATGCGTTTTTTTCTTTATGTTTTGCTGTCTCTCTCTTTGCTTAAAAGCTCCTTATGTGTTGCTGTCTCTCTCTTTGTTTTAAAGCTGTTTTTGTTCCTGTCCTTATGTGTTTCCTTATGTTTTTGCTGTTTTTCCTTCCTCCTTCAGTTCTTCTTTGTGTTGTTCTTGATCCTCCTTTGGTTTCGAATGATGTGTTTCTCGTGGCCGTGTGCAAAAGAAGAAAGCCCACAAAACAAGGGGCAATTCAAGCAACCCAAAATCAACCATGGAGAAGGTTACTTTGATCCTTGTTTGAAAATTTTATTCTGGCGGTTTCATCCCTATGGTCTTCCACCCCTGGACAATCCCAGAATACACTCCCGGATGGTCCACGTGCACCCTCTAGTTTTACAGCCGCGATGCAGCAAGGGGACTTGATTCGCTGAAGCTTTTTTGAGGGACCCTCTTCCGGGACTGATTTCCATGGGCCAGCGACTTCCGTGTCGCCTTCCAAAATGGCCTCTTAACTACATCCCCCCCAACCCACGCCTCCCCCAACCCCCGGCTCTCTCTCTCTCTCTCTCTCTCTCATAGGAGCAAATAAAGCTTCAGCTTTCCGGGGCCCAACAAATTGGGCCGAGACATTCAGAAAAACGCAGTGGAAGCCCTCCTGGTTCATGCACTTCTTGCGACCTTCCCAAGAGGTGCTTCCCAGAGGTGGGTAGTATGATCCCCCGCGCCTCTAGCGGCATCTCTGGCCAGGCAGCCTGGGACGAGGCGAGCGAGGCTGCCTTCCCAGTGGAATGGGTGGGTTTGAGGATGTACAATACTCCTCTGCAGACAGAGGAAACCGAACCCCAACACCTGATTCTGCCACATGGAAGCTTGTAAGATGTCCCCAAAGCCACGGACGCCATGGACAACACATCAGCTTTAGACGAAACTCCGCGTGTTGTTCCCGCAAAGAACCTGGGTTGAGAAGGGCAAACCAACAGAGTAAACTGACAAGTTTACACATCTTGCGGCAACCGGGTCAAGCATATGGAACTTCATTTGAGTTTCTTTCAACTTCTCCGAACGAACTGGTAAAAGGCGTTGCCGCTTTGGCAGTTTGAAATCCAGTTGCCAACATGAAAGAACACATGGAAGCCGATGGAAAGGACGCTCGGAAATATGTTCGGGGGTTGCTTGGGTTGCTCACAAGAGCAGTGAACCTCACAAGGACACCGATGCAAATCCTCTCCAACTTGAAGTAATGAGGCTTTTCTCACGAAACCCAAGTGAACAGGCCTCATTTGTCTAGGACTTTTTTAGTAGGGAACCACCTCAAAAGTGAAGCGGTAGTGAATCCCCACCGACTTCATGACCAAAGTGTCCGTAACATGCACCCCCCTATGAGAGTTTGTCTAAACAACCATCGGGAACTCTCAAACCGAAAAGCTGTTTCCTTCGGGTTTCCCTTTACTTGGCTGCTGTTTCCTGCAAAAAGCGAAACACATTTTGGGGGGGGTTAACGGAAAACCCCCTTCTTTTCCGTTCTTTTCCAAAAAGTTAAAGTCTAAAGACCCGTTGCCCACTAGCAACCAAGTTCAGAAACCAACCAAACACCTGCGGAGGGCGGCTTCCAAATCACCGGCCAACCGCCCGCCCCGGCGGTAAAAGAAGCTGCGGTCAGGGGCACGCGGGGCAGCACCTCGCCCACCAAGCGCAGCAGCCGACCCGCGGACCTGGCGAAAAGGGGAAGGGGATGGTCTCAGAATCGGGGCCCAAAACGGTTTTCCCTCCCAGCGATTCCATGGGAATTTGTGCACAAAAGGAAAGACTACTTTCCTCTTGGAAAGGGCGGAGGGTTGTTGTTTTTCTTTTTCTTTTTTCTTTCTTTGTTTGTTTGTTTTGTATTGTTTTTTAGGGGGAGGGATCGTTTTTTTTTGGGGGGAGGGTTCGGGCATTGCAGGTGCGGCTTTTTGAGGATTGGTGTTTTTGTTTTTTGTTTTTTTTTCATGTTTTTTTTGTTACAAACAAATCTAGTATCCCATACCTCCAAACCCAGACTCTAAGATACACATCAAAATCTTGGAGATATGCCACCAAGCCACTGGCTGAGGCACGCTGCGTGCAGCAGGGTTTGCCCCTCATCAGAGACTTTGCGCAGGTCCTGCGGGCCAGCATAAGTTGGGCTGTTCAAAATGGAGCGTTGCCAATCCGAATCCAAAATACCTCTTGGGAAACCGCTACAAAGTGGACAACTTTTGCAGCCCAAGGAGTAAGGATCTTTGAACAGCCAAGATATGGCTCACTTGCAAAACTACCTAGAAATAAAAGCTTTGACTACATACGAGAACCCAAATCAAATAATAGGTTAAAAGGTCGATTCGCTTTGAACAAGTGAGAGGGCGAATCTGCCTTCAGCAAAACAGGCACTGGGGGGGGGTAGTTGATGTAGCGAAACGCTCCCAAGACAAGAAGGTCCACTTTATTTAGCACTTGATTTCCACCGGCACCGGACGTATCAAGAGGCGTGTCTTTGCTCAAGACCATTCATTTACTTTTCTCGCCCACCCGCTCCCAGCGGTCTTCCCATCCATGTTGTTGCTTTATGTTTTTTTTAAGTATCGGCTGTTCGAACGTGTCGCCAAAAAAAGATGCCAAACAAATGGACAGTGGACCACACAAGTGAAAGGAATTCCAGGACATGTCACCCCGCGAAAAGGCGTCCTTCCCCTTTTTGAACAACCTGCATAAGGTCTGCGAAAAATATCGCTTCCCCAAGGGTTACAAGCCAAACCTCATGGCGAGTTTTTCTCATTTGTTTCAGTTCGAGTCATCCAAGACACGGCTCCAATCCCAAGCACAAACATATTTCAAGAAAGTCACACAGAGTCTCATCTTCGACCCCGGATTCATGACTTCCTGGTTGATCGTTGATTGCAGTGGGTCCCACATAAGAGGCCCCGGATCACTTTTGGCCCCAGTCGACTTCGGGGTTCAGATGGCTTGACCTCTAAACTGGCTGGCTTCCCATTGGCTTCCCGATTTAAAATGATAACAGCCCCTAGGGTGCCCACAAAGAAAAAAGAGGCTGTGATTCCCCTGTAAATACAAACGAACCATGGTTTCCAATGGTTTCAAAGTGGTTTCAAAGTGGTGCAAGTTGGATTTCGCAACCATCCACAGTACTGGCCTAAACATGTATAAAACCTTGAATTCTCAGCGCCTCGCCATGTCTCGGTTGCTTTCTGCTCCCCTGCTACAAGTGTTTCACTTTTAGTGGTTCAATGGAAAATCCATTCGTTGGAATAAAAGTTAAAGCCCTAACATCCAAGCAAAATGCGCCAAAGTCATGATTTAGGCCCTCAAGCCTTTTGGATCCCGAGACCCCACCCACCCCACCCCACCCCACCCCCACCCCACCCCACCCAACTGAGGAGGGAGTCCTGGCACCTCCCCAGGCGTGGCGCCGGCGCCAGGCGCCGGGCCAGGCCCGCCGGCTTCTGCCAGGCCCAGTGCCGCCACCGGCGGCCCTCGCTCAGCGGCTCCTAAAAAAGGAAGGAGGGGAGCCCCAAAAAAGGCGTGCCCTCAAAAAGGAGACTCCTCCTGAAAATGGTTAAACTACTCCTAGATAGCCAAGTTGCTGTATGTTTGTTTTCGTTTTTCAGTCACTGTTGCGATCGTTTTTTGGTGTAAAGTGCATGGAAGAAAAAAAACAGCAACTGGCGATCCAGGCTCCTCCTGAAAATGGCGGATGCTTGGGGGTCCAGATTAAACTGTAGGGGAGAAAGCGGATTAGAAGGCTCAAGGTTTTGGAAGTATTGAATGGACGGATTGGCTCAAACCTACCAACTATTCCAAAGGCTCCAAGTATTCAAGGATGGTTTTGAGGGTTGAAAGGGGTCAACGTACATCTTTAGCCTTAGGATATTGTCGAGGGTTCCATAGGACCCCCTTCGGACATGCTGGGAAATCCTCTGTGACAACGTAGGGTTCCCATCCCGTTCAGACTCCCTTAACGAAAAGCGGCGACCTAAAACGGGTCCCATGTTCCGGCTACTTCCCTGCAACTTCAGAGAACCCAGTGCCCAGTGAGTCCATTTCCCTGTTACGTAGATAGCCAAGGGAACCATCCTTGGAAAAGCAAAAGGAACATGGCTGCTTGCTTGCTATAGTCCATAGTGGTAGCTGGGATCCACTGACTGGGGAATCAACTCAAGCGCGGGATTCTGAACAAGATCCATCTAGGCATGCAGGAAATCCGCATTCCGCCATACAACGGCATCAACGAGGGCTCGTGCTAATTTCCCGTAAAACAGCGCCTTTTCTTTGCGCCTTTGTTTGCCCAAATTAGTAAGGTGACCATGAACTTTAAGTAGCTTATAACCTAGGTTGCCGCCCTCCTGTCCACTAGCATGAAATCTACGAGATGGTCCCTTTCAATTAAACATTATTCTTCCAGGACTAGTGGGCAGGAGGGGAACCACTTCACTTGGCAAATCACCGAACTGGCTGGTTGATTTTGACCAAAAAATAAACAAACAAATCACCTAACTGGCTGGTTCATTTCGACCAAACCAAAAAATGACTAGAGTTAGGCCCAGCTATAGAATGTTTGTTTTATCGTGTGCTTCACTTTGAGTCACTGATAGAATGGAAAATGTATCCTAAGTCTACTGCATAAATAAAGAAAGAAACAAAAAGAGAAAACAAACACACATCACCTAACTGGCTGGTTGATTTTGACCAATCCCAAAAATAAAGACAAAACAGGGGAAGAAAAACAAAACACAAAAAAACGGGGCGATGCCATGCCTCCGTGGCAAAGCTCGCCGGCCCTTCCGAACTTCCGGGAGCTGTCAGCGGCAGCGTCCAGGAGTGGCACCGGATCCTCTGGACTCTGTGAACAGGTGAGGATTTGTTTTACCCTGGCAAGCGGATCTAGATGGAACCAAGGACTCAATCTTGCGGTTAGCTGGATTCAAAGTCATGGGTTCAGCTTCCCTATCGGTGGTTTTTGGTGCTTACGGAGGGGTGAAACCCCATTTATACTCTACTCGGTTGCTTTCTGCTCCCCTGCTAAAAGTGAATAACTTTTAGTGGTTTGATACGGAAAACCAATTGGTTGGAAAAAAGATAAAGTCCTAACATCCAAGCAAAATGCAGTAAAGTTTAAACTGGCAGTAGCCACTTTCCAATCAGCCACAAAGTTCTAACCCACGAAGTTGGTTGAACATCCAAGTTACCCCTCCAAAATTTAGGTTGATCAATTTAGAGAGCCTGCAACCCAAAAGGGAACCCACTGAGGATTCTCGCCAGAATTGTCCAATAACCTCCCAATAAGGGTCATTTTAAGTGAGCATCCTTTTGGTGGACTGATGTTTACGGCTTGGACATGTAGGGAACCTTGTTCGGAATGGACATGGGTTTGGGTTGGGGGTTCGGACGTCGCTCTGGTTACCCATGCGTTGGGTCAACTACCCTCCATACCTTCAAAGGGAAGCAGTTGGGCTCCGAATGCGACACGCGGTAACTTCATTGCAACGGAGCACCGCCCGAATGTCGACCTGGTGATTTGGCAGGGGCGGGGGGGTTCCCTCAAAACTTCCCACTTTACAATGGGACACCCATCCCGCTGTTCATCAGCCCGGGGTGTATGACGTCTGAATCCAGATTGCCCATCATTTGGTGGGTGTGGGTCAAAATTAAACCACCAGGAATGGAACCGCAGGTTTTGGTCCATGCCACTTACCAGGGCAGCCCATTTTGGGGTTGCCCTATTGTTGACCACCACAGCCTCTGCCGGTCTCAGCCACTCTTGAACCCGCCCTCGGGACTTCGAGCCATACGCAGGTCCATTGTTTGGATCCGAGGCGGATTTCAGCTTTGAGATAATTTCGGTGAGAAAAAAGAGACCTCTTCTTGTTTGGCCTTTTGGCTTACTTCCCGGCCCAAGTTGCAGAGGGAAAGGAAGCCCGATTCAAAGGGTGAAGTTTACACCACAGAAGGGGGGATTTGACCCCTGACGAATGGGGGGGACCACACCAAGAGGGGTGTTGAGCCAAGTTGCCAGAGGTTCGGGACGCACTCTGACTGCCTGGGCCAAGAGGAAATCGGCAAATAACCCCCCAAAGGAAAATGTCTCGTGTCGATTCCGTGGCCCCTCTCACATCATTTCCACTGGGCGGTCTGCCCATTTCCGGAACATCCCCTGCCTCATCTCCAGGGAAGCTCGTGGCTGGCAGTCCTGACAAGCGATGGAAGTGGAGGTTTTGCGCGCAATGAGGCAAGCGATGTGGATCTCGTTTTTTTTGGAGGTACCAAATTTTGGGGGCTGTGCCAACAAAGGAAACCAATGAGGAACCCAAAGGCAGGCCACTCATTTTTGGAGGCCCCCAACACCACCCCGAAAAAAAAAAAAAAAAAAAAAAAAAAAAAAAAAACGAGCATCTCCGAAAGGCTCTCTGACATCTTTTGCCGGCTTCTTATTTTTAACGCCTACAAGGAGAAAAGAAAAAAAAAAAAAAAACCTGCGCCAGGACTCAAAGCGGCCAAGGGTTGGGTGAGCTCAGCGTGAGTTTCGGCCGGATTTGAAGTTATAGCTGTCTTTTTTGTGGCTGGGGGGTGCAACCTGCAAAAAGGCACGCCCCTTTGGAGTATGGCCCCTCTGCCCCTCTGACCCTTCAGCCCTGCTCGCTCCGATTTTGGCTTTTTGTTCGAAAGCAACAATTTGGATACACCCGGCTCCCGAACAGCCTTCCAACAGCCAGCTCCCTCCCTCCGTATCCCCCCCACCAAACCAAAAAAACAAAAAAGAACAACGGAGCGCCCGTCCCTCCGTCTCCCCAATAAAAAAACCGGAAGAGCACGTGGAACGCTTCGGCTCCCCGGCGCCTCCAGCTCGGGCAGGCCGAGCAGGCCGAGCTGGAGGCTTTCCAAGCGCTGCGGCCAGGTCCGGCCGTCCTTGCCGTCGAACCTGGCGGCGGGGGGAAGGGGGGGAGGGGCGACGGCGAGGGCGAATTGCGGGAAAAGTGACGACCACTGGAGCAACCAACCGGGGGTGACATACATTTCTTGCAAATGGAACGCAGCTGGCAAAAGGGATGTAGAGGGTGCCGACTACTGAGACTAGCGCCTTAAGCACAACAATGCAAGCCACCCCAATGGACACCGTCGGAAAAGTTGAGACCTAAACTAGCTCGCAGTGTAAATACTGGCTCGAAAGGAAAGTCTTGGACACCCAATGATGGCATAACAGGCCACATATACTTGGGGGGATGCAGCCAAACTCATATTATTGTATATATATATATATGTGTGTATACCTAAGTGTACATGCATATGTATATAACTATGTATATGTGTAGAAACGTATATACCTATATATATATAATATCTTCAGGGTGGATTGTGTTCGTTCACCAGCTTGAAAATACGACGCGCCCAAGACAGGCAGGCCAGGTCACTATGCCCGGACCTCTCTACACTCTGTCTGTTCACCGAGTAACGGTGTCTGCCCCAAGGATCAGGAGGCGAGCTTCCATTTGCGTAAGCCCCTGGAAAAAATAAATAAACAAGTCCAGCAGCGAGATCGATTCCCTTTAAAACCGAGAGGGGGAAATAAAACATATTCGTTTCTCTTGGCCGAAGGCTTGCCGCTTCGGACAAAAAGCCACCGCATTCCAGGTGTCGAGTCTTAGCTAAAAATGGTGCCCTCAAAAACAGACACACAAATGGCTATGGGTCAAAACCCCGTACCCCCTGTGAACATCCCAATCCCCAATGAAATAGACTAAAATGGGTGGTGCACCTTCCCCAAAATGGTACCATTGGTGTTGACCCACGGCCAAATGTGCAAAACCACTTGAGGCATCACGGAAGGCAACCCACTGCTCTTGGTAAACGAAGGGAACCCTTTGATCCCGGGAAAAAACAAAAAAGAGATTTGAAGGGTGCAGACTGAAGAAGCCGGGGTGAAATGGCACCAAATTTCCCCATGGCGTAGTCATCCAATTTGAAGCAGCGCCACAACCTTGTGGGCAAACTGGTTGCCGTTTGGAAAGCCGCCCGCTCAAAACCGGGGTTTTGTGGGGTCACTCGGGGTGTATCCTTCCCACTTCTGGGATACGTTTGGGAAGCCCCCTTTTTTATATGGGGGTTAGTCTTTGGGAGGCTCTTTTGTATCACAGAAGAGGCTCCATTTCCCACAGCTCTGCTCAAAACGCACAGAAGCAAACAAGACACACAAGACATGCCGAAGCCGCAAAGTGGAGGGCGGAAGGCGCCGGAGGTGAGGGAAGCTCCTCGGCGCCGAAGGCGAAAGGCGGCACCCCCCCCCCGCTTTGTTTTTGTGTGGTTGCTTAAAACTTGGTTGCTGCAAAAAAGTTTAACTTTTTCGGGGGTTAGTGGAAAACTCCTTGATTTCCCAAAAAGTTAAAGTCTAAAGATCCAACCCAATAGCAGTCATGAAAAGAAAACCAAGAGGAAAACCAGCACTTGGAGTCCCCCCCCCACCCCCCCCGGGTATGATGGACCAAGGTCTATTTCGCCACCTCCTTCATTTAGGGTATTGGTGTTTAGGATCCCTGGCTGCAACATCGACTCCGTGTCCATGGCACGGTCCACCCCCAACCAAAAAGCAACACGTCACATGTCTGTCTCAAAATCGGGGGAGCCTTGACTCAAATGGACATGGGCGGCTGGGCTGCGAAGCTCGGGGCTATGCGGAGGGGGGCACTACCGAGGCCTTCCTTGGCTTATCCTAGACTTCGGGAGCATATAACTGATTGATGGCCCAATGGGAAACAAACAAAGGAACCCCCAAAAAAATAGGTTGGTTCAGTCTGGCAACCACAACGGGGACCCCAAAATAGTTGGCTTCCCAAAACAGCTCTCAAACAAGACGTTGCCCATATCAAGCAAAATAGCCGAAGTGTTTGTTTGCCAAGATGCGACCATCCCAAAAAGCATAAGTCTATCAAGGTTCCTTTCGAGCCTTTTGTTGGGGGGGTGGCTTTGGTCGCCGATGGGTTGCCTCAACAAAGTGTCCGGCGGCCCGCCATGTGACTCTTGCTGGGCAAGCTTCGGCTTGCCGCGGATCACGTCGATGGAATGCATCTCCTTGGCGCAAGCACCGGGTCCCAAGCCGCCGCCTGCCTTCCCAAGTTGGAGGTATGGGTGTGTCTGGTTTAGTGGACCCCCAAAATCCGTGCTGTCCTTTTGGCTTCACTTTAAAAACCAAAAGAGGGTTCCCTCAAAAAAAGACAGACCCATATGTTGGGAAAGCCCTACACTCCTGCAGATTAACCGGGAACCCCAAAAAACATGAGTGGGGGAATCTCCTTTTGGCCCCGCTAGTTTACAACGGGGGGTGCTCGAAGGTCACCTTATAGCCTGACTGTCTCTCAAAAATGCCCTTTGCAAAGGGTGCCTTTTGGTCAAAGATACTGGTTGAGCCATGGTCTATCCACAGGGCACAGGGTTCCGGAAAAGGGCACCGTTGCTACTTAAGGGGCATCCCAGGAGTAACAAACCGCGGGTGATCAATGGAGGGTGCCATTTTGGAGGGGGTGTTGATGCATTTGCAAATCGTTGGTTGCTGGCATGGGATTCTGGGAAGCAACCCGACTTCCTAGTGGTAATTTGCTGAGTGTGCCCAGTACAAAATTGTCAGTCCCCATGTCCCTCTGAAACAGACCATGTAGAACTGAAATTCTGATCAACCCTCATGTGACCCGACTCCGGCTCAATTTGCTGCAAAGCCGCCATCAAGCAGAGGTACTTGGCGTTCTCATCCTGCGCGAGGCAGGCTGGTCCACCAAAAGCGCCTCCAAACCGTTTTCTAGAGCTACTGTTTGGTGCGCAGGCTGTGAAAGATTTGGAAATTTCAGGCTTACCCTGCTTCCAGTCAAATGGAAGTCGCCAAATCCCGAGATAGGGCCCACAATGGAACCTTGGTCAACAGAAACTGAGCCACAATAGTCTTGCCGCATCTTCCTCTCAGCCTCCACGTGTCGGCGCAATTGCCATTGGCAGCAACTAACTTGGCATATGCCAAGGTTACAAACCAGCCATAACCACTGCTCTAACATAGTCTTCTGCTCGTGGAACGGCCAAGTCTGACTTTTTTCTCACCGTTCAAAATGCTCCAACCCCATGTATCAAACTCCACGGACTTGAGAAGAACAAATTGTTGGGCGACCTTCTGGGCTGCCGTGAGTTGTCCCAGTCATGGAATCGGTGGTTTCCTTTTGCCACTTGGGTGACGTTGCTGGGTGATTTCATTGGCCCTGACTCCCTGACCTTCCGAAACCCAAAGTTGGACAACGACGCCGGGAGAAGTTCTTGGGCCGACGCCTGGTGGGGGTCCAGGTCATCCTGCGCCAGCCGCAAATCCAGCACCAGCTCGTGCGCCAGGAGAATCAGCACGTCACCTTGACCTCGTTGAAGGGCGATCTGAACACCGAGTCTTTGCTTGGGGAATCTGAGAGAACTCACTTCCGATCGAGACGGGCAAAAAAAGTAAGCAAACTGCGCGCTTGCCAGGAAAAAATGGACCTCCCAAAAAGTTTCAGGTCCATGACTCAGGGAGCGAGGAAACCGCTTTTGGCAGAGTCAAAGAAAAGCTCCAAGGGAGCCTGACGTCTGGATCAATGGCAGGCTCGCGGGAAATCTAAGGAAGCAGCACCAACTCAATGCAAGGGTTTCCTGACCAACTGTGGCTCACGAACAAAAAACCATATTATATGCGAACCAACTACGGGTTAACTGACAAACCGTGGCCATTTTCTGACACACAAGGCATGGCACTGTTTCCTACGCCTTCTTTGGCTTACACGTGTTGGCCAGCTTTTGGCTGACCTTGCCTCTAAACCTGAACCGCAAGTACCGCTCGGCACGAGTTAGGATCCGCACCGATGACCAAAACCGCACGGCTCTCCCCAAGGCCCCGGGCCGGTCTCTGTGCGGAGCGACAGGGCCGCGCCCTTTCGCAAGTCCTGCAAGCAATCCAGATCAGGCATTCTGTGGACGCACGAAATCCGTTTCGCACCACTTCGAAACCATGGCTGAAACCATTGTTGGCATTTACAGGAGAATCCCCAGCCCCGGGTTTCTTGGGTGGTGCCTAAGAGGATTTCGTCGAGCCAAACAATGGACGGCCTGTGCAAGCTCGAGCCTTTCTTGGAGACGGTCCGTCCCCCCCAAAAATTCGGAAGCGACCGGAAGCTAGACTGAAGCACTGGCACGGCCATCGGATGCAAACCATGCAAAATCCACCCAGGGCCAGAGATCGCGAGATCGCCCAAATGGATCCGCCATCTTCGATCTCAAATTGCAGAGGGCTCCTTCTGGGCGCCACTCGCGCCTTTTTCGAGGCCCCTTCTTGTCGTTTTTTGCAGCACCGGGAAACCCAAAGGAACAACGAAGCCATGGGTCCCCTCATCAAAACGACGGCCAGTTCCGATTGCCCCCAATGACTCGCATCAGGTTCCATCTTTCGAGGTCGCCTAGCTTTGAAACGAAAATTAGTGAAGGTTGAAGAAGGGGGTGGTTCTCTTCCAAAAGCCTATTACAAAAAAAAGGAAAGAGAAGGAAAGAGAGGAGGAAGAAAAAAAAGGAAAACAGAAAATGTGGAGGCGTGGTCCCTCAAAGCCAAGTGGGTCTTGAATGGATCCCTGCCAAACATAGCCACCTCCCTACCAAAAAAGCTCTCACTCATCCGCTGGCTCAAAAGAAACCGACATGAAGACACCCCAAACATGCAAAACATGTTCCAACCAAGTGCAGAACAGGGATCCTTACATTAAGCACCTGCACATTGCCTTGTAATTGGTGGTGTCCCTTTGTTTTGGTGTTGAAAAAGCGCGCCATGTTTCAAATGGTTGCAAAATGGAGATCTTTTACCGGAGCCCTGCCAAAAAAAAAAGGAGACGACAAAACTGGCTCTTGGGCGGCCCCTCCGCACCTCCGACGCCCCTCCCCTAACCGAGTCCTCCCAAAGTCGGCACGCCGCGCCCGGCTGGCAGTCGCCCAGGTTGTGCTCCTGTGCCCGGGGAGTCGTTTCTTCGATGTGCTCCGGACCCTAAACCCATGCGAAGGTGGGCTCGGGTTATTCTCACTTCCTGAGTTCATGGACTTTAAACTTTTTGGGAAGACCAGTTTAGTGGTAAATATAAAGTTTATACTTTTTTTGGGCCATCCACTCAGCAAGTGAGTATTGACGCTGCCCTTTGCACCCTTTGAAGGGAGGCAAAAAGGAAACCCCTTGAAACTGATTCAGTGCCAACTCGCAAAAGGAAGCCGCTAATTGCACCCCAAACCCTCAGTGGCCATGGGGAAAACTTGCACTTTGTTGTTGGTCGAGAAAGGGGTACCCCTTCCAAAAAGAGGCAAGAAGGGCACCACTTGAGATTTCAGCCAATTCGCAAGCCTGAGTAACCCCAATACTTCAGAGACTCGTGAGAGCCATAAGAAGCTCTTAGGCTCCCCCCGTGGCTCTGAGCACTCCTTTTCTCGGGCCTTTGAATGGCGGATGTTGGCATAGGGGGTATTGCCCTGGTGTGTCCAATTCCTCACATCCGATCGAGCGGATTGGTCATGAAAAGTTCTGGAACTTTTTATGTACCACTAAGATGATCTGTCCAAAAAAGCTTAAGTCCGTGAACTCAGGCAGTGAGATTCTGTGGGTTTTTGGTGGGTGCGATATCTGGAGTCAAAAAAGCAGTTACATGGGGTCAGTGGTGGATATGCGGGTGGGACATGGCTTCCCATGAAGGTCGAATGCCAGAAACTTGTCTCGTAGGGAGAAGGGTTGGTCCCTCCACCCTGCGGTTCAGCTTTGCACCATTTAATATTCCATCATACAAATACCTAGGTTCAGATACCCCATTCTTTACCCTTCAGGAATTTCATACTTGGGTCCCAAGGCCATGCTTTGAATAGGGGCAAGGAACCCTGAGGTCACTCCAACCCAGAAACCGGGGGCTCCAGTTCAAACAAACGGCTCACTGGGCCCGACTTCGACCCCTGCCAAGAGCAACGGCTTTTTGTGGGCAAAGCAAAATGAAGGGAAACCAGGGCAACATGTGGGTGGCTCATCACCCTAAAAAACGACACGGCCATGTCGCATTGGCTGGCATATGGGAAAACATGGGTTCCAAGCCATTTCCCTTGTTGGAACCTCCAGTGGCGATGGTTTCAATGGACACCGCCAGTAAATCGATCAACTCTTGAAATGAAAAAATAGTGACCTCTATTTAGTGACCTCTGGAAAATGAAGGGGAAACCAAGGCACCATGACGCAAAGCTATGCCTCTTGCTCTGGCTCCTGGAGAAATGCCAGCAGATCCTCCGCATCGTCGAAGTCCTCCGCCTCGGTTCGATCCCCGAGTTGCCTCGCATCGAAGACCCCGGAAGTCGTACTGTCGATGGACGAAATCCATTTCGCACCACCCAAGGCACCATGGTTGAAACCATTGTTTGTTGGTATTTACAGGCGAATCACTAATCCAGGGTTTCTTAGGTGGTGCAGGATTTCGTCCATCCACAGTAGCACCTGAACTGCCTGGTTTCCCCTAGGCTCCTGTCAGGGTCTTGCTCCAACGCATCTAGAAAGATTGCACCCATGGTTATAAGCCAATTTAACTCCCCAAAGCTTGGCACGGCAACAAAGGGAAATGCAGCCCCCTCCCCCGCGCGAGTCGGTAAAAAACAATAACCATGACCAGCAAACACGTGTTTTGCTTCAAGCAAAAAAAACAACTCAAACAACTTGCCAAGACCCTCGAAGTTTGCATCCTCCCAACTCGCTGTGGTCGAGACCGAAGCCGTGGGCCCCGCCACTTGCTGGGCGCCCGCGCCGCCCAGCGCCGGCAGAGCGGGTCCCGGCCCGGCTTGGCCCAGCCCGGCACTGCGCGGAGAGGCTGCGCCTGGCCTCCGCATGGGGTGGGGGGGGAGGGGCCATGCACGCAGGCAACTCGGCCACGGACGGAAGGACAGAAGGACGGAGAGACGGAAGGGATGGATGGATGTGTATGTGGATGGATGGATGTGGATGGATGCATGAATGTATGAAGGCATGTGAATGTATGCATGCATGTATGTATGAGTCCATGACTTCAGTGTTTGATTGTTTCCTGACTCAGGCAATTTCTCACCGAAGATGGAACTCGAGGAAAACGATGTTCCATGCAAAACCAATGCAACTTGATGCTGTAGTGGGAAAAATCAAGTCGTTTCCCAAAGACCCAGCCAAGAAAAGCAGCCTGTCAAAACCTGCTTAGTGCCGCAGGTGGAGTTAGCCTTGTAAGTAGACCATGACTCGAGCTATCAACCACTTAATGGGCTCCCGGATTAAGGGTGTCCCCCTTTGGTGGGGCTTCATCACTAAACACCTCCCTGAATAGGACGGGTTCATTGATCCGGGGTCAACACCCAAGTAAAACAGGCAAGCTATCCTCCAAACTACTCTGCACATGATGATTCAAAGGGTTTCCCCACCCAAACAAGAAGTAATGGTGCAAACGTCTCAAAACCGGCCTGTCGATCAATGAAACAGAAAAATAAATAAATAAATAAATAAACCAAGAAATCAATCAATCAACTAACCAACCAACCATCCAGCCGTCCAACCAACCAAACAATCACGTCAATCCAGTCCAATCCAATCCAATCAAATCCAATCAAAGCCAATCAAATCCAATCAAATCCAATCAATCAAATCAAATCAATCAATCAAATCAAATGAAATCAAATAAATAAATTAAAAAACAAATAAAAAAAATAAAATCAAAACAAATCAAATCACATCATCACAAATCAAAGCAAAAAAAACATAAATCAATCAAGTCATAACAAATCAAAACACATCAACACAAATCAAAGCAAATCAAATAAATAAATAAATCAAATCAAAACAAATCAAATCCAATCCAAACCAATCCAATTCAATCAATGAATCAATCAGGGACCCCCCCGCCTAGGTCCGGCAGCTGGAGGAACATCTGCAAGAGCTCCTCTGCCTTGGGGTCATCCGCCAGCAGCGCCCAGTGCACGTCCTCACGCAGGATCTCCAGGTCCTGACAAAGGCGTCCGATGCGAGGAGCGAGGACCCCCGTCTTGGCAGGAAACAAAACGGGTACACAGAAAATCATGTGGTCTGAGTAGATCTTACAAAAAATGGTCTACCCAAAAAGCAATACAGTTTTGGAGGAGACCCCGGCAGTGGCTGCATGTTCAGGTTTTGGACACCTAAAGCTTCAAATCCTTTTTTTTCTGGTAAAAATGAGCGGGCGTTGTGTTTACCACTAGTCTGCCCATGTCTGCCCTGATCCCGAAAAGTGAAGTGGGGAAGTGAGTGAGGCCCAAAAGAAGCTTAGAGTCCCGGGGGCAAATTGGGTTTCTATCTATCAGCTTCCAACTAAAATTGGCGGTTGGGATCCCGGTGTTCCGGGGTGGAAACCCCATCTGCCACAAGAATTTTGGGGTTCACATCTCGAAACCACGGCAAAGCACCAACTATGGGTTGCCTGAGTCCAAGAAAAGAAGGGCAAAGGAAACGGGACCAAATATCTATCCTTCCTCGACCACGCCCAATACACACAAATGCGATTCTCATTCTTGCTTAGCCAACCTTCACACATAAACATACAATGTTGAGCCCCGATCGTAGGTGTCCCCTTTTACTGGGGCGTCAAACCACTGGAGTGGCCCCCACCCTACTGTGGACGGACGAAATCCTGCACCACTTGGAAACCATGGTTGAAACCATTGTTTGTTGGCATTTAGAGGGGGAATCATCATTCCAGGGCTTCTGAAGTGGTGCGAGATTGTGTCCACCCAGCCCTGCTTTGGGGGTCAACATTAGACAGGAAGAAGCCGGCAAATTGTCCGGCCTGCTCGGACTCCAGCCGCTCCAAAGCCTGATGGATCATCTGCCTCCAGTCCGTGGCAAGGGATCCGAACAGATCCGAAATGATTTTTATGCGGGGCCGGGTTTTCAGGGGAGGAGGGAACCTCAGTGGTTCAGTGACCCTGGAAAAAAAGGGAACCCTTTTTGGGGAAGACCATTTTAGTGGGGCAGCCACCCAAAAACAAAAAAAATGAAAAAGGGGGCCACTGAACAACTGAGGAACCCCTATAAACAATCAGCTATGGCTTCCTTTGAGAGAATCCCGAGAGGTTCATTCCCGGTTCCTTTGCGCGAAATATGGATCCTCTAGCGGGGTCCGGGATCTTCAACATGAGTGAGCTCATGTTCGTTGCCCCGGGCTATTTTCGTATGTTTTGTTGAGGGTACCCTCAAAACAAGAAAAAACACCACCCATTTCGGAGGTTCCGATTCCGCTTTTGACACACATCCAATTCTTCCGATTACCATGGAACTCATGGTTTGGGTTTCTGCTAATCTTCGCCTTGGTCCCCCATTTTGTGGGCTCCTGCCGTTACTTTGCAGGAGGCTCCTGCACGAAATAAACCGAGCAAGCTGCAAACTCCTTCCATGAAGTACCCACACATAGGATGACCAAAAACCAAAACAGAAGGCAGACTACTTGGCCAGACTTAAATGTTCTGGAAATAATTACCTGACTTATTGTCACCTAACAAAGGAACGGCAAAAACACAAAAAGGCCAAAAAGGGCAAAACGGTTGGTAAAGCCCAATAGATCTGCTTTCAGCAAGTAAGCCATCCACTATGGCTTGAAAGACTCTCCAAGTGAGCTTCGGACAACTCCTGAGCGTGGGACGCCCCGCTTCTTTTTTAGAGTTCTGATGAGTTGGGTTGCTTCCATGTGAATCTGCAAGGCAACCATGATCCCAAGAACCTCCATTTGCGTTTTCGCCCACTGGAAAAAATGAAAATCTGTCAATTTCCGGCAGTGAAATCGATTCCCTTTAAAACCAACACCGAAAATAAACATATATCCGGCAGTGAAATCGATTCCCTGTAAAACCAACAGCGGAAAATAAACATATGTCCGGTAGTGAAATCGATTCCCTGTAAAACCAAAAGCGGAAAATTAACATATGTCCAGTAGTGAAATCGATTCCCTGTAGAAACAGCAGGCAAAACGAATAAAACACCTATTCATTTCAGCAAATCGAAGAGCAGGCCCTACGACCTCCGCCGAGACGCGCCACCGCCGCGCCCCGCGCGGTCTTCGACCGCGCGGTCGAAGAATTCCGCGCCAGCGCACGCGCCGGCGTGGGCGTGTCCGTAAGCAGCGGGGGGTCCTAGACCGCGAGAGCTTCACGTGAGGGAACGCCGCATGCAACCATTTGCTTTGAACTAAGCAATGAGCTTATTCACTACAAGTGGCATACATATACACATACGTGTTCTTTATATGACGGGCATCCCGAAGTTACGTGGTTGAGCCTTTACTTTGAGGTTGCCATGCCTGAAACCAAGCCTTAGACCAGACCTGGCCGAAACTCCGGGCTCCTGCAAATTTGGATCCGACACATCAGGCAAGGTGATTTGACCACAGGGGTTTTCCTCATCCGTCTGTATGCTTCCCTCAGCCGGCTGCAATGGTTTCAATACTTTGTTCAAAGCTGCGAAATGGATTTCGCAACCATCCACAGTTCCAAAGTGGAGCACCCCCCCACTCACGCTTCAACCCGCCACAGGAACCTGGTACTCCAGGTCCATTCGCTTTGGGGAGCATGGGTAACTGAATAGAACAAAACCTCACCAGCTGATTTGAGGACTCGGATCCCTGTACAGCAAGAGGTGTTTGGAATCTGCAAATTCCAATCCAAAATGAGCTCTCCTCTACTACCGGGTGAGTTAGCTATAAAATAGGCATACAAATATGCTTGAAGGAACCTCGCTGAAAACTAATGGGATAGCACAATAAAAATAAGGACAACCGGCGAAAACAAGCGAGCACGAACGGAAAACAATGCAAGCCAAAGCACATACTTTTCGATGGACAAAATCCTGCACCACCTAAGAAACTCTGAAATAACACATAACACACACACATTTCCCTTTCGGACATGGTTTCATTCCCGGGAATTTTCTGAACGGTGCGAGACCCTTTCGGAATTCTCAACCCACCGCCATGAGAAACCACCCCTCCACCAATCAGAGACAAATCTGAAGAAATGGCTCGGGGTTCCGTGCCAGCCCTCAAAAGGGTAGCCCTACCACATCCACCAACCAGCCAGCCTCAGATGCCCAGTGGCCAGAGGAAAACGGGGGCATCCTTTTTTTTTGATTAATTTCAAGGGAAGCCTTCCCCAAAAACAAGGGAAAAAGGAAGCAACCCACTTGGCAACTGGGTAGGTTAAATGAGACACCCCGAATGCAGCCGCCAGCTGCATCCAGTGCCGCCCAAGCTGCCAGGCGCTCGCCCGGAAGAAGCTGCGCCAGGCGCTTCAGGGCCTCACAGGACAGCAGCTGCGGCGCGCTGGGCCGCAGCTCGGGCTCCTGGGCGCTCATTTGCTGGGCTTCGATGGACGGCTTCCACAAAACCTCCCTATCTTTCCCGAACTAATTCGTCCACAGGGTTTCCCCTTAAAACATGGGCTCCCCACATTTCCCCTTAAAACAACCAGGGTTTCCCCTTAACACTGGGCTTCCCCTGAAAATCCTGAAACAGGGTTTCCCCTTCTAATGCCACAGGGTTTCCCCTAAACAACATCACCACCCAGGGACGCCTCCTTTCATGGGCCAAAAAGGTGATGTTGAACACCACCAACAAGGAATGTTCCACTGCCCCCATGTCCAGCTTCACCCTGGTGGTTCAGGGCTGCATTCCCATCAAGATCCGGGGGTTCGATCTATCCACGTTGCCATGGCACGCGTTTCGATTTCGGGGTCCTGGAAGGAAACATTTTCCTTTAACATGGAGCCTCTGGTGGGTTCCATGGTAGTGGACAGGAGGGTAAGATGGTTTCCACTACCCCCGAAGTCCAGGGCTTCCTCGGCCGTGGAGTCCCGGATAGGCGCCAGGGTAGGGTTGAGAGCTTCCAAAATTCCGGGTATACTTCTCTGCATTCTTGGTGAAGAAGTGGCTCCATTCCTCCATTCCCTCTCTGTGTCTTGCAGTTTCCCATCCATAATGGGTGTTTTGCGAGCCCTGCGGTTTGGAGTTTGGAGGAGCTGACACCGCGGAACCGGCTCCCCCACTTGGCCTCTTCTCGCAGAGGGTCGACTGCTTGAACCACAAGTCCAACGCAGCTACTAAGGGTAACCTGAAACTTGGTCAAAATCTTGCGGTGGCAAAAATGTTCTTGCAAAATACACGGAGCCCGAAAAACGCAGATCTTTCTTTGGCAGGTGAGCGCTCAGGTGGCTTTCCTTCAGGCGTGGTTGGAGTCGGAGAGTCGGAGTCGGGGGGTTTTAAGTCAGGTAACCCTTGGTGGATATTGGTGGTTTGGCGGTACCCCTTTCAGGCTGGCGAGCGAACCTTGGTTGCTGCAACGACACCCCTGCAAAAAAATGGAGAAAAGTGGTCAACTTTTTGGGGGGTTAGCGGAAAACCCAACTTGATGTCAACCAAAAAGTTAAAGTCCAAAGATCCAACCCAATAGCAGTCAGGGAACAGTTGACTAGTTTCAGGAATCCTTCCGAATTTTCTGAAACCCAAGTGGCAACACAGTGGGATGATATCAAATGATAGAACTCATGTGGGGGCCGTGTTTTGCGAGGTCGCCGTAGGGTTGGTTTTAAGGGAACGCTGAAGGAAAGCCACCCGAACTCAACAAAAACACCAAACCGCAAGAACCAAGGATTCAAGCAAACCACCAAATGACCCCTATAACCCATCGCCCATGGCTTCCTTTAAGAGAATCTCCTTCCAATCAATTCCCAACACACGGTCTCGGTCATTCCCTACGTACGACCCCCAAAAGAAAAAAAACAAAAAAAACAGCTGGCGGTCGAGGCACCGGCTGCAGCAGCTCCAAGAGTACCGAGCACAGGTCCGCGCAGAGCGGGTCGTCCTGGCGCACTACCGCGTTGTCGGGGTCCCTTTGGGGCTGCGCGCTTTTCTTGGAACGGGGCCCGTACCGCGTTTTTTTTTGGGTGGCTTGAAAGGGAACCCTGGAAGTCAAACCACCATCAAAACCATGGGGGTTCATATAACCACCATTGTTTACCTAAGGATTGTCATCATCCAAATTGGGTCAACCTTTCTTTTAGGGGTTGAATGTAGGGGGAAGCCAAAAGGAACACCCACCCTCCTTGGAGGTCCCCCAAACACACAGCCAAGTACCACGGTTTGGGGCGGTTTTCAAAGGAAAACCACAACTTTTTGCTTGGATTCCAAACAATATGGCTGTGCTTCAAACTAGGGAACTGCCCGACACACACACACACACACACACACACACACACAATGGTGTTCCTGTGTGCAACAGGTTTGTCTCCAACCAGGAGGTTCCCCCTTGATGGGAGGTGTTGCCTTGCAACCCACCAAAACGGGGTACCCAAAGAATCCACAGACTGAACTGGATTTCCCCTCCGCTGGGATTTGGTGAGCTCGATGTCCCTTTCGCCTGCGGCAGCCAGCTGGTAAGGCGCCGCCGGATGCTTTCCTCCCGAATGTGGGATAGGTGTGGGGCCCCGGCAGATTCACCGGAACCCAACTAACCAACCAACCAACCAACCAACCAACCAACCAACCAACCAACCAATCAACCGGATGTCCATTCCAACTGCAAAGTGCTGGTGGGGTCCAACTTAAAATCTTCACCGGAGGTCTAACAAAAAGGATCCCAAGTCAATGGTTTTGAGCCCTGCTTGAAGTGCCGAGGGTGCCACCTAGCCTGGAAATTCCAAAAACCAGCAATCCTCTTTCAGCTGCCCTGGGAGGAAGGGGTCTGCTTTTCGAAGTCAAGATGCACGAGTGGGCTATTGAAAAAGTGGTAGCAGCCACAGAGGCGAGCGCACGGATTCCTTGGATTGGTTCACTCACTGCGGCTCGTGAGCCTGAGTCTGAGTTATAGACAGTTATGGGTACTGGCGCTACATGCACGTGCAATATGAATCCTGCTTGTGAGACCACAAGGGAAAATCCGTTTGTTTCCAACCGTCACCTATGTCCCTAACCAGAACTCCTGCCAAGCTAGTTGAATACCTCAAGTCACACCCGATGGATGGGATCGCCACCCGGTCCCCGGGCAAGTGTTGTTTCTTTTTTAGGGACCCCCCAAAAAAAAGAAAAAGGTTTTCCGGTGGGTTCCCCTTATGAAACGGCCAAAAACAGGGTACCCTCAAAAAAATGCCGCCTGAAAACAAATTAGCGGGGATACAAGGAAAGCATGGAGGTGAGAGAATTGCCCCAAATGTTGCCCCACATCCCTGCTTCCACCACATCTCCCCTCAACAAAAAACATCAATAACCTGAATACTAACTAAATACTATATATTCGACGATTTTCCCTTTTAGTTCCCCTTCAACCCGACCCAACAAAAAAAAGGGGGTACACTCACACGCCCCTTCGACCAACGCTGCTCCTTGAGTTCCCGCACCCCCTGGGCGATCTCGGAGTCCGGGTGCCCCGCAATGGCGTCCTATGGCCAGGGAGAAAACAGCCGAAGCCTCAAGCCTCCAGATTTCGGCAATGCCGGTCGTCTCCGTGTTTGTTTGTTGGTGTGTGTTTTATTGTTCGGTGTTACTTGGTGTTTTCCTTTGTTGTTGTGCTTGTTTGTTGGTTTGTGTGTTGTGTGTTTTGTTTCGATTGTTTTGTGTTGTGTTTTCTTTGTTTGTGTGGTTCTGCGTCTGTGATTTGTGTGCTCTGTTGTCGGTGTTGCTTGTGTTTCATTATTATTGTTGTTTAATATGGTTATGTTATTTACGTGTTTTAGTGTGTTTTCATTATTATTGTTGTTTAAGTTATTTATGTTATTAATTTGTGTTTTAGTTGTTTCTTACTTATTGTTGTTTAATTTATTTATGTTATTTATTTAGCTTGGCTGTTTTTTTTTTGTGGGGGGGGGGGCATTATCCTTTTCCACCTCAAAGCGCTTCCAAAGTGAAAATTGTGTAAACAAGGGTCTACACAGCGCATACCATAATCATGGTGGTTACAGCAGTGGTGTAAACTCTGTCCAACGTGTCCACCCCCAGAGACACATCGGAGAAAAAGAGAATATGGGAACCCTCATGGACAAAACTTGAAACCCATTACTGCGAAAGGGGTTCTGGAACCGCGTCATAAATAGGAGGGAACTATTAGTAAAATAATGATGCACCTTGCACTCGTGGAGCCAACTTCGTCAGTAGCTGGATGTCTTTGAAACCTAAAATTGTGGTTTTCCTGTTGGTTCCCTTTGAAACCAGTCCAAACCGGGTACCCCCAAAAAAGAACAGACCCAAGTTATAACCAAGGACATCCCTGCAACACCTGGGGCTAGCCCCCCAATTTCACCATGGATATCACCTACCTGACACGGGCTCAACATTCCAGACCGTGGCGTTGCGCAAGGGGACCCGGATTTGGGTAGGGGATAAAGACATCTCCAACAACATGAAGAAGGACATGTTTTTGTTGGGCTCCGCAGGTCTGTGCCGGACACGACGTCCTTGCTGGTGCGATAGGTAGGGAATGAGGGAATGAACCCAGAGATCCGCTTTAAGCAAACCACCAGTTGCATGAAATTCATTTCTGATTCCCTGCTGGAATAGCCCAAACGCCCTACGGCCGAAACAAGCAGAATTGGGCTCATGAGTACTCTAAAAACACATGTCATCATCATGGATTTAAATGATTAATTATCATTTGGCACCTTACGGCGCTTTCCAGTTTGGATATGTAACAAAATAGGGGACCCAGAAAGAATGTGGTTTCCCTTTTGGCTTCTCTTCAAGCCAACCCCAACAAGGGACCGTCAAACAACACACGCCCCATTCTCCACAAGCGCAAATCCATTTCGAGGCGCTCGGCTCAGGCAAGCCGACGGCTCAGCCGGCAGCTGGCCCAGCGTGACCACGCGGAGGAAAGCGTCCTCCGAGTCAAAGAACATGGAGGGGGTGGTTGGGGCCAAGGACTGACACGGTGTCTTTTTGAGGGTGCCCCCCGTTTTCCTGGATTGACATGGCCGCGGTTTCTTGGAGGGGGACCCCCTTTTTCGAGACCGAACCTGACAATGGCTGATCTGCCCAAACCGAGTCTCAGATTCTCGGATTCTCGGATTCTCGGGTTCTCGGATTCTCGGATTCTCGGATTCTCGGATTCTTGCATTCTCGGTTTGTTGGATTCTCGGATTCTCGGATTCTCGGATTCTCGGATTCTCGGGTTCTCGGGTTCTCGGATTCTCGGATTCTCGGATTCTCGGATTCTCGGATTCTCGGATTCTCGGGTTCTCGGGTTCTCGGGTTCCATTGTCAAGCGCGCTCTGCCTTTTTCTTGGTTTGTTTTTGAAGGGAAACCACAAGAAAAACCAACTTCTTGGGTATTGGGGATTGTTTTTGAAGGCGGGGGGGTCCCCGAAAAAGACACCCACATGACGGAACTTCCACCCTTGGGGAAGTTGCATCCTTTTGCCCTAACCGACCCAACTCAGAACCCTGGGCATTCTGGGAAGCCACGCCGGCCCAGTGGCAATTCCCGTCATTTGAAGGGATGGAAAAACCACTGGTTTGCCACAACCAAAAGAATCCCTGACCAAAAAGAAACTATCACCAAGTTGTTTACGACATGGGCAGTGGCTTGTTTGGTGGTTCGGGCCTATACACTACTTGCACGCCTACGCGGAAGCCTCCGCAAGCCTACGCTGCAAAGGGTGCCTACGCGAGCACAAGTCAGCTTCCAGGTGGCTAAGCGGACGCCTACACGGGTGGATGTTCAGTTCACTTGTTGAAGTGCAGTTTGGCAGCTCCGATTGGAAAATCGCAACATTTCAGTACAAGAGCATGTTGGCAGCTCCAGCTCTAAGATCACCTTTGCAATACAATTGAGAACCCACATCTGTTGAAGGATCTGATTGCTAGAAAAGGTCTGCGGACTCTAACATGCAATGAATGCCTACGCGAATGCCTACGCGAGGCCTACGCGGAGCCTACGCGAAGACTGCAGAACAAAACGGAAGGAAGGCAAAAGAAGCTAACCCCGTTATACTTGGCAAACAGCATTGAGCCATGATTTGTTCAAACGCCTCCGCGAAAAGCCTACGCGAGGTTGACACAACAGCCTACGCGCAGAAGCCTGCGCTAGCCTACGCCCCCAACCAGGATTACCTCCGCAAAGTACATGCAGTTCCGTTTTTTGGTACAAGCCCTTTCATTTGATGAAAAAAAACGCTGCTCAAATGAGAAGCTCATTGTTTAAGGGCTTCGAGCTATTTTTTGCCATACTTTCAAGCCAATCCACGTTCAACACCCGCATCTTTTCCAGAAACTGCCATGGAACCCCTGACATCCGCCTCCCCCCCACCCGGCCGATCCCACAGACCCCCCGCGCCAGGTCGTAGGGCAGGCTGCCGCTGAAGGCGTCGCAGGCCGCGCAGCCGAGGGACCAGAAGTCCACCGCGAAGCCGTGGCACTGGGAGAAGTAGAGCTCCGGGGCCATGGAGCCTGCGGAGCTGTTCCGCAGGTTCGCCGGGGCGGTTTTTCGGCGGCCGGGCTGAGTGGATGGCCCCAGAAAAAAATCAAACTCTTTATACTTACCGCTGAAATGGTCCAACCCCAAAAAACCTTAAAGTTCATGAACTCAGGAAGTGAGTTTGTCAGCTGCCGGGCTGGTGTGGAGATTCGGCTTGGAGCCAGGTGCTGTGGTTTGGATTGCTTGGAACCTGCCGTACGGCCACGGGTTGGAGCTTTGGAGGTTTAGGTTGGCTTTGGAGCCAGGTCCATGGACCCTGCGGACGTGGCAGGTGGGTTTTCAGCTACCCACGAGTTGGTTTTGGAGCTTAGGAGCTTTGGAGCCAGGTGGTTTGGATTGCTTGGAACCTGAGCTGCAGCTTGCCCCCCCGCCCCCGGGTTTCGCAGGTTTAGGTTGGGTTTGGAGGTCCGGTTATTCGACCATCAGCTTCCCCTTCATTGGTTTGGACCATTACCCTTCACAGAAACCAGAGCTTCAAATCCAAATCCAAACCACAAGGGCTACCTCGTCACAGTTGAAGGGTTTAAAAAGGGAAACACCCCCGAGTTACTGGCCTTGATCCCGAAACAGACTCAGAATAATGACCCCATGGGTTTCTTGGACCGAACAATTGGATGGCGGCTTTCCTTGTGGCTTCCCTTCAACAGAACCCCAAGTTGAACCTCTCGCACAGCTATGTGCCAAAATAGTCGGACCGCCACTTTTTTTCTTTTTCTTTTTTTTTTACTTTCCTCTAAACCGGAAAGATGGTTTCCAGTATACCCCAATGAAGTCAAAATCGGACTCCGGGAACGATCTGGAACCCTTCGAATGGATTGTCCCACCTGCAAGAGGCTTGAAAGTGACAGATCGCCTTTAAAGCCAACGGGCTTTAAATAGGGGAAAAAAGCATCTTAAGCAGATAGCTCAGTTGTTCAGTGACGCTGGAAGAAAAGGGAACCCTTTTTGGGGCTTGGACCATTTTTGTGGGGCAGCCACCAAAAATAAAGGGAAAAGGGGGGGGGGGGGGGCGGTTAGGGTCCTCTACTCAAATACCTTTTCCAAGTCACCAATCCAACCACCAGTCCAGAGTGACCTGAAACAAGGGTACCAGGAAGTTGAGAACTGTGTGTGTCATTTTTTGGAGTGGGCACCCTCTTTTTTGGCCGCTTCTTTTTTACAGGGAAACCAACAGGACAACCAGTCCTTTGACCTCTTCCATTTGGTTCAGGCCCCAGGAAAAAAGAAACATATTTCCAGTAGTGATGAATTCCAAAGTCTTTTTCACAGCAACAAGGGAAAATTAAGATTATTCAATATTAGCAGTGACGAATTCTTTTCAAAACCAGGCCCCCCCCCAAAAAAAAAAAAAAGTCCAGTAGTGAAATCGATTCCCTTTAAAACCAACAAGGGAAAATAACAAACATGTTCATTTCAGCATATAAAAAAACTTCAAAAACAAAAAAGGCCATGCCGCGTGCTGCTTCCCTCGGGCCCCTGGGGGTCGTCGCGTCGCACCGTCCCTCGGGCGCCTGTTGTGCCGATGCCTTGCCGCGTGGCCGCGCGCTGGGCCTCGTAGAGCCGCGTCTTCGCCGCCGAGAAGTCCGCCAGCTTCACCGCGCCTCGGGGAGAAAAACGGCCAGCTTAGACCTCGTGTCGTGTTTCTCTATTTTCTGTTTTGTCTTTTTTTTCGAGGACTCGTTTTTTGCTAAGGTTTCATCATGTTTCTTGTTCTTGTCGTTATGTATTCTGTTCTTTCCTCTCTTTTTTCCGGGGTTCAGCATGTAATTATACGTTATATATGTATTGACTCCCCCTAGCTGTGATATATATATATATATATATGTACACGGAAACCTGCCATTTGTTGGGGCCCTACTTTGACAAATAATTCAACCCTAAGGCCATAGCCGGGCTATGCTTCGAAGAGGTGGAGGCTTAGGACACTTGGGATGTTGCAAATACTTGTTTTGTGCTGTGTGAAGGGTCTGTCACAAAGTAATCCTCCCCTTATGATTTATGATACCCCTTGAAAAAAAACATTTGACATCCTTGGGACACATCCAAACAAACCGTGCTCTCTTACCCCCAGTCACCCCGCCACGCCCGAAAAAGACGCCCTCCGCGCTTAATTTCAAAACATCCAAGTCGCCACCGTCGGAGACCAACAAGTTGTCCAGCTTGAGGTCTCGGTGAATGGTCCGGATCTCCTTCGCTGCATATTCTCCACTTGGTTGCTGTTGACCCCCGCGCAAAAAGTTTCACTTTTTGGGGTTTAGTGGAAAACACCTTTCTTTTCCAAAAAGTTCAAGTCTACAGATCCAACCCAACAGCAATCAAGTCCATTTGCTTACATCTCAGCTGCCTCCAATTGGTGGTTTGGAGCCGGGTGGTTTGGAGATCTGGGGTGGTTTCTATTTACCCTGGTTGAGTGCTGGCTCCAGGTTTACCCTCTGCAAGAACCAGGGATTCAAACCTCCAAACGACCAATCCAAACCAGCAACTAAGAGGTACCTGGTCAAATCTCTTGCAACACTGAACAAATCGAAAAAACAAATCCAGTAGTGATAGATCCCCTTGACACCAACAGGGAAATCAATATTCTTAAGCGAATGGAAGTTAAAGGTTCTGTCCCAGAAACGCACCTGCGGAAGGATCAGTGGGGTAAAGTGACTTTTAATTGGCCCAACTGCATCCTGTAAGGGACCCTGTCTAAGCACCACCCTCTCCCCTCCCTTTTTTTCCCGTTCTCTTGCGGAACCGAAGGGTCTTTGGAGGTACAAATGCTGAAACGCACACGTGTTCCTCACATCCAACTTCGGTGCACCTCAAAATGCTCCATCTAGGTATCTTGGTTGCCGTTGACCGCCTGCAACCCGTTTTTTTGTTTTTGTTTTTTACTTTTTGCGGGGCTCAGTGGAAAACCCAACTTGATGTCTTAACCCAAAAATGTAAAGCCTCAAGATCCGTTGCCCAAGAGTCGTCAGGTAGCTTTGTGTCAACACAGGGCCCCCCCTTCCCTTTGGTTTCCTTCAGCCAGCCCCCATAAACGGGCACCCTCCAAAGAACCGCGCGGGGTGCCCCTGGGTTTTTTTTTGCACATGCCCAAACCAACGCCCAAATCCAAGTGGCTGGATGAGCTCTTCTAACATGCGTATAAAGGCTCGAAATTGTTGGCTTCAACCCGAATCGCCCCAGTGAATCCATTTACCTGTATGCTTAACAAGGGAACTAACCCCTGAAAAACAAAAGGAACATGGCGTTGTACCCATACTCATTTCCCCGAGTGGATGGCCCAAAAAAAGCAACAAAACTGTTTGTTTCTCAAAATGGTCCAAACTCAAAAAGTGACTAAAGTGCAGGAACTCTGGACGTAACGTTGACTCCGGATTGACAAATGATTCCCCAGCAAACCCTGGGAGAAGCAACCCCTTATTAATAAACTGGTTGGTTGATATGGGCTCAACATTGCAAACATTTCCCCCAACCCAGTTGGACACCCCCTGTTGATAACCTGGTTGGTTCTTGATTGATATGGGGTCAACATTACACATACTTCCAGTGATAGATTCCCTTTTACAGCCAACAAGGGACAACAGCAAGACGTCTTACGGGTGCAACCTCTGGGTACCCATCCACAGAAACCGCGGCCTGGTGGAGCCAATGTAGCGCATTCGCCCCGGAGACCAAGACCCGGGCTGCCCAGGCTGCCTGGCCGAAAGCGCTTGCGCGAGCGCGAGCGCTTGCGAGCGCTTTTGGTGGCGCCAACGGAAACCGGGGGTCCCGTTTGGTTACCCCTTGTTTTTGCAGGTGTGAAAGGGAAGCCAAGAAAAAGGAAAAAACGAAAAATGTTTCACTGGTTGAGGGGTAAACTTTCCACTCCACCAACCAAAAGCCAAAAGCCGCTTCAAAAAACCTAAGGAACAAAAACCGGATGCCTGACCACCACCAAAAGGCACGGGCCTACCAAAAAAATGCCCAAGCCCCTGCTTTCCCGGGCACAGGCAACTCAGCCCTCCGCTCCCCGCCCACCCGCCCGCTCGCTCGCTCCGCTCGCCTGCTGCAGGCGCCAGGCCCTCTCCGCCTCCCAGCGCTCCTCGACTGGGCGCTGGCCCACCGGCAGCGGCGCCCTCGAGGCGCGCTCCATGACCAGCACCCCGTCACCTCCGAAAAGGAGGCGACACGGCAAAAACGTCCTGGTGACTGGTGGGGGCTCGGGGAGGTCTGCGCCCCCCCAGGAAATTCCAAAGGGAACCCCCTTTATATTTGGTGGGTATTTGGCGAACTTGTAGCTGGTTTCTATGAACCCTAAAAGTACACCCTTGCGAAATGACCCAGAACGGTTCAAAAGAACACGGCTTTCTCCGGAAATATGCCTAAATGGGGGGCAATTCCAAGTGGGCGTATTCCCAGGGTGTAATAGAAAAACCCTTAGACAGAAGGAGGCGACGCGGTAAGAACGTCCCGACGACCGCTCAGCTTCAGCAGTTCAGATGGAACGACAGGGCTGTCCTGGTTTGGACCATGTTTGTTTTTCTTCTTCTTTTTCCAGGGACCCCCGAACGTCAAGTTCATGAACACCCCAAAAAGACTTGATGAACTTGAGAGAGGACCTTTTCGGTATGACAGAAGTGACGCTAAAACCCTATTTTCCGCAACCAGGAGTTGGCCCAACAACGTGGTTTGAATGCCATACCTTGACTGGCCTAACAAAAAGCATATTTCCCCCAACCATGCATGGTGGCACCCGAACCCCCACTAAAAATTCAGTGGCTCCATGTGCCTGGCTCCAGCACGGGCTGGCCCTTGATGCGCAAGGCTTCGCCGGAGTAGCGGAAGGCCGCATAGTAGGCCTGCGGCCAACAACTGGGCCCAGTTCTGGGCTGCTCTTTTTTGAGCAAAGGTCGTTAGCCTAGGTGACCACCAGGAAGTGAGCCAGGGACCGCCCTCTATTTGTCAACCAAGGCAAACACCAAACACCTATGGTCGTTAGACGTTTTGTAGCGGTGGTAAAGCCACTTGTTTCCAAAAGGTCCGTTGGGACACATCGGAAGATCATGCTGTTTCCTCAATATTGCCCCTTCGCTGGATAGTGGCAAGGGAAGCCACCTTTGGACGCTTCGCCCATCTGCTGAGCTGGTAGCATCAGGTAGAATTACGAGGTCCTGAGCGAATGTTCTGAACCATGGTGACTGAAAACTATTCTGCTTGTATGCTTCCATGGTCATCAAGCAACATCACCACCATCTGGAACTCGTGCCCCGGCCGGTTCGCTTCTGGTGCAGGCCCGCGCCTAAAAAAGACTCCAATTGCCCCAAAAGCCATCGCAACGTGCAACCTCCCAATCCCGCCCTTGCCGTTTGACACGTGGAAAACACCCCGGGCACTGGATTTCCCCAAATCAAAAGTTGATCAATAGTTTCCTCTGAAACAATCGCCACTTTTGGAGGTGCCGAAAAGAGAAATAGCTCGGAAAGCAGGGTTCCGGGTGTTGGGAATGAACCGATTTGTTCCCTCAAAGGAAGCCATAGGCTGGATGGTTTTACGGTGATTCCAACTCATTCTGCTTGCTGAGAAGCAGCAAGAGAAAAACAGTTTCCATTGGAACTCGGAAAGCCTGAAACACCGCGGGGGGGGGGGGGGGGAGAAGAAACAAACGGAAACCCCAGGCGGTCCAGCACGTTGCGGTGAGGCTTCCGCAGCAGGAGTCGCACCACCCGCAGCTCCCGACGCCAGCTGCCGCAGTGTTTGGAGCCGCGGACCACCTGGCGCTTGGGGCGCTTCAACCTGGGCCGTTCGTTCCTCAGATCCCCTAAAAGCTGATCAAACGGACACTCAACCACGGAACCCATAAAAATCCCCAGCCAAAAGTTTAACATACCTGGCCCGGCCTCAGATCAGCTAACTGTGTTGACTCTTAGTAGGTTAAATGGACACCCAACTTCCATTTGGTTAAGACGCCTGGGAAAAATTGAAAATATTTCCAGTAGTGATAAATTCCTTTTAAAACCAACAAGGGAAAATAAAACATATTCTTAAGCAAATGGACACCCAACAGTGGGACAATTCGGCTCCCCCCCAAAGCTTCAACCGAATCGCAGCCAAGATTCTGCCAGCCGATGTTCGACCCAACCCTTCAGTGGGTTGACAACTAAGGCAGCTGCAATTCTCCCATTCCGACCCGTCTGTTTCAGAACATGGCCAGGAACCCTGGGAAGTTGCATGGTTTGAAACTCCCCTTCCTGAGTCCTAGTTGCAACCAACCCGTGGGATGACAATCTTTTGCGGGGACTAAGCAGAAAGGATCGAAAGGCGACAAAAGGAACGAAAAGGGAAGCAGCGAGGGAGAAAAACGGGTTTGTCCCCCCATGTTAAAACCCAGAGCCAAGAGTACACTTCCAACGCAGCAACCAAGCAAACGCCAAGAAGCCGGCATCAAAACAAGTTGAGTTGAGAAGCACGGACCGAAAGCTGCCAACATCGCCTCTTTCACCAGTCTCGTTTGCGGCTCCAGGAGCCAGGAATGTCGCAATAGCAAGTCTGACAGGCGGCATAGCATTCGAAGGCAACAGGTGGCAAACCCGCTCGCGCCGAAACAATGCACCAACTGTGCGCATGAACCGAAAGCTGTACTTGAGAAAGGGCAGGCCGAAAGCTGGCGCCGCAAAATCCACAAACCAGCCTCCTCTCTGACCATACGAGCTGCTTATCGCAGCTTGCAAGCCAAAGGGGTCGAATCTGGAAAAACCTGCAGGGTTTCCGAGCCATTTCCCTTGTTGCAACCGCCGGAATGTAGTGGAAGCCACCAGTAAGTTGATCAACTTTTCAAGGGGAAATCCAGTGACTACCGGAAGCCGCCGCGTAGCCCGCCTTCACAGCCACAGCCTCCTTATCTGGCCCAAGCTCCTGGCCGAAAAATCCGCTTCACGGACGAAATCGGTTTCGCACCACTTTGAAAGCATGGATGGAACCAGCGCAGTTGGCAGTTGCAGGGAAATCGAACCATTCTAGGGTTCTTAGGTGGTGCGAAATGGACTTCGTCCATGCACAGTAGCTAGGGGATGGTCCTGAATGGTATTTCAGAGGCACTAATCGCCACTATTAGGCTGGGCTCATGGCTCTGAATCAGTAACAGTGCATTGCTGGAGTGCAGCTACATAGTTGACTTATCCCATTTGCCTAGCCAAACAGAACGGGATTTGGAGCGCGCAACTGGCGCACAGGCTCGAATTCAGGAATGCGACGGTTTCGTTTTCCTGCGTGCTCAAAGGCTTGGGGTCGCCCAGCTTTCAGAAGCTTCCCTGAAGAAGGTACCTGAGTCATAATCAACACTTGGTACAAAAATGGTACACCCAGAACCATGTAAAGAACTAAGAAGGCGGCCGCAGCTATTTATGGTTGGGATCGTCCCTTACTAACCTTCATCTACCCAGGTCTTGATTGTGGCTCACCTGGGGGATGTTTCTTTTATCCTCCAGGGAGTACCCATGTTCCAGGACAGATATACTTTTGGGGTTGCAGTACCTAGTTGCTTGCGCTCCTGAGAACTCAATCATGCTGGACATGACTATATCCTACGGAGTACCCTACCCATTCCAGGATGCATATATATATATACACAATATGTATGTATATATTTTGGGGCCTGCAGTTCCGTTGATTTGAGACAAACCCAACTCGTCGGAGTTTCAGTTGGCCCAGCCATGCCATGGAGCCTGGCATTTGCCATCTGGCTTCATGGTTCCACAAGGGGAGGGTGCACCATGGAGACAAGCCCGCTTAGGTCAAAGGGGCCAGCCTTGGAGAAAGTCGGACCCAGCTGATATGCACCGAATACTAGCTGAACACATGGGTGTTCTAAGGTTATCAACCCCAATATTGGGGATGATATAAGGTGGGGGCTCCGAGTTTGGTCCCATTGATTCTGTATCAAAGTGCATACATCTCCATCTACACCTATCCATCTCTGCAGTTTGAATCCACCAGCACGTTCCTTGCAAGCCGGCTCCAGGCCCTACAAGATACCGAACAAAAGGTTTGCAGACCAGACCGGTTGATTGGCGGCTGCTGTGTGGGAAACAAAAACATCATTCCCCGAAAAAAGAAAACACGTGAAAGGTTTGTGATCCAACCCAATAGCCGCCAAGGCATGTGTGTGTGTGGGCGTGCGCCATGGTGTCTTCCAAAACCCTTTGCTTTTGCTTGGTCGCCACAGAATTGTTGGAGGGGGTATTGCGGGCAGCGACCAAAACCTATTGACTGTTGGTTCTACTCGCATTGCTATAACGGTAAAAAATACTTAAATAACCCTTACGAACCAGGTAGTAGAACCACCTACTCACATTCGCAAGCGAGCTCGAAGCCGTAGAACCTACCAAAAAGCTTGGCCAGTCTAGGCCTCCAGTTGAGAGGTTAGAATAAGCCAACTTCTTTCTGTACTCTATTTTAGGGGGACCCTCCCAACCAAAAAAGGGGTGAGAAAGGGCACTACTGGGTGCCTAGCAGTGGTTTTGGCAGCTCGCGCGGCGAAATCCCCACTCCGTCCTTGCAGGTGCCAAGGTACACGCTGCCCGAGGCGCCAACGCCCACCGCGGTGCCCTCGGGGAAACGACCAGTGAACCCACAGCGGGGGTGGAATATCTTGGTTGCTGTTGACCGCCCTGCAAAAAGTGTTTAACTTTTTCGGGGGTTCGTGGAAAACCCAACTTGATTTCCCAAAAAGCTAAAGTCTAAAGATCCAACCCAAGAGCAGTCAGGATATAACCACACTTTATGAGGTTCTTAAGGGGGTGCGAAAGAGGGGGGGGAAAATGAGGGACTGGGGAGCCCTAGTCCACCAGGGAACAACTACCCTCCCCCCTTTACACGCCCCTCCCTAAAGAACCCCATTCTTTCTCGGCAGTTTCACTGGCGACCATTGAAACGGGTCACTTTTGGAGATTCCAAGAATGGACGTGGAGGAAACCTTGTAGTGTAACCACCATGTTTTACTCGGTTGCTCCCGAGTTAGTTCCCCTTAAAACATCACCCCCAAAAGGCACTCACCTTTCATGGGCCAAACATGTAAAAACCACCAAAAGGGGCAATATAGGGACCCCTGTTTATCGTCAGGAGTTTCATCCTCCAATGTGCAACTGTTCTTCTCAAGGGTTCAACCCTAGCGTGAAGGCAACCAAGCTAAATATCTACATGGGAGGGTTGGCTTTGACCAACCCAGCCCTGCGGAAACTCATATCGACCCTGGATCAATAAACCGGTCCTACTAATAGGGGGTGTCCCTGGGTTCAGTAGGGATTCATCACTTCTGGAGGGCAACACCACCCTAATTCCGGGCTCGACACTATGATTCGCAAGCCGACACACTCACTTCCCGAGTGGATGGGCGAAACAATGTCCATTGTTTTTGTATACCACCTAAACTCGCTTGCTTTCTGCTCCCCTGCTAAAAGTTTAACTTTTAGGGGTTCAATGGAAAACCCATTAGTTGGCAAAAAGGTAAAGTCCTAACATCCAAGCAAAAATGCACCAAAGTAAATGATCTTCCCAAAAAGTTCCAAGTCCAGGACCTCAGGGAGTGAGCATAGCGCGTTTTTGTCCTACTCGTCGACTCTTGTGCCGAAAACCCCACTGACCTGTGGTTCTACATGGTAGTGGAGAGTCCCCAGGAGGTGGTCCAAGGGGGATCCTTCAAAGGACCCCCACGCAACCCGAGAGGGGCTCTCAACTCTCAAACTACCCAGCGCCGAGAGGGTACCTACACCCCCCCCTCAGGGATTCCATCATGGTTTTGCTGGCCTACAAGGGTTTTACCAGAACCCCCCATTAAACCGGGTCTTTCATGGCCAACTAACATCGCCATAAAATGGGAAGGAAGCCGGACTTCGGTTTCCTCTTGGCTTGCCTCTAAACCAACTCCAGTGCTTCCACTTACCACTCTAGTAGGTAACCAGGGGAACCATCATGTAAAACCTGTTACAAATTGTGATTACCTACCACAGTGGTCACTGCAAGCCGCTGAGAACCGTTTGAAAGGGTACCATTGAAAAGACACGCCTCCGCCTACTCTGGTTTTGCGCAATCCATTTCGCACCACCTAAGAAACCATGGTTGAAATCATGGTTTGCTGGCATTCACAAGGAAATCGACTCCGTCCAGGGTTTCTTAGGTGGTGCTAAACGGATTTCGCATCCATCCGCAGTAGGACTCGGCTTTGGGCGCGACCCAAAACCCCAGTTGTGGCGCAGCCCGCCAAGCCGAGCCGCCGCAATCTCCACCACCCCGCACGGCGTGTCCACCCGCATGGGCCAGCGCGGACGAGCTCTTAAGGGTATGCCACGGCCCAAAAGAAGACTAAGGGGCTGAATAGTCACACCTGCTTCTCTCTTGCCTGCGTCTATAAAGAACGATATTCATATGTGGAGACACACACATTTTTTGGATATGACTCAGGTGCCGCCTGCAAAGATGTCTGGTTCTGGCGCCTGTTGTTTTGGCTCGAGGTCTGCCACTAAGACCTCGCCAAGCTGCACACCATTTCAATCCGCGACTGTGGAACGTGATGCATGCCAAGCTTGCACGAATTCCCCTTGTGCCTTAGCAATCCAACACCCAATCTTGGTTCTGAATCTGTCTTTCTCTTGCCTTGTTCCGCTGACCAGCCATCAACCCGCCCCCCTGGTGCCGAAAGGCCCGGATTGATTCGTGCGCATCTGGCAAGCATGTTTTCTTCTGCCCCATGCACCAGCGAAGGGAAAACCTACCCCCCAAAGCTCAGCTTTCCCTCTGATGCTTAAGGGGTGGTGTCCTACAAGAACGAGGGGTTCAAATCCCAAACCAACAATCAAACCATTAACGACAGGTTGCCTGCAAAGTAGTGTTGTTCTTCTTTTGGTTTCCCATGGTTCCCTTTAAAGCAACAGAAAAAGGGTATTGCTGTGCGTCAGCGGTCTGGGCGTGTCCCATCAACCTGCTGCTGCAGCCTGCACTCAAGTTGTGCAAAACACCACGCGAAGCTTTCGGAATCATATGGGTTGGGCCAAACATGTGGTACCAATAGTTCCACAACAATGGTCATGTTTAATAGTTCGCCAACCGGAGATGAGGGATCTGATCCTGATGTTTCCTTACTCAAGCTTGGACTCGCGAGAAATACCAGGATATATATATATATATACATGTATTGACTCAGTCGGTCTTTGCCCCTAAGCAAGCACGTCTAACTTTTGGCGGGTTCAATGGAAATTAAAATGGCTTCCGAAAGGTCTCAAGAGCATGTGCAGGCCATTGATTGCTTCACTTGCGCCTGGCAAGTCAACCCAGTCCTGCAAATCGATTTGCATCAGTCAACCCAAAAACGAACCCTCACTTTTCAGCTGAATCTCCATTGGGAGTTGTGCATCCCTCCGATTTTGCAGAAAAAAACCCTTCAGGCTCCTCCCTTTTCTGTGCGCGGAGCTCGCTCTGCCTGCTCTTCTGGCTCCGGAGGAGCGTCTCACCGGCTTGGCCGAATCATCGACACTTGCGCCCGTAACTCCCAGCTCGTTCTCCTAATTTTGCACCCGTTTGGACGATTTTTGACCTCGGTTTAAACCGAGGTCGCATTTGCGTTTGTGATCTCAACCGTCACTCCCCTACCTCGTTTTGCATCTCCTTCAGTGTGGGTTCTTTCTGCCCGGCGTTTACTGCAGTCTTCTGTAAACCCAAGGCAGTCGCTCCTATATCCTTCCATTTGTTTGAGACCCCTGGACAAACAATATTTCCAGTGATACATGTCAATAAAACCAACAGGGGAAAATCAAAAATATTCATTTTAGCAAAGGGAAGTGTCTATAAAGCTTTAGAGTTGGAACTAGCTCACAATGTGGTGTACATAAATCCACTGAATTCTGATGCCCAGGGTCCGACTGATTACATTTCATACCCACATCAAGCTCACAGATTTGGAAGCCCTCAACTTTCAATTCCAAGGGCCCCTTGCCACGTGCTCGCCCTGGAACTTACGAGGGCGCAAATACACAACAGGCCGCCTCTGCTTTGGGTTTCAGTGATGTGAACATGGGCTGCTAAGTGCCCAGCATGATCTAGAACACTCTGGATTCTGGATGGTCCGTCTGGTACTCGCTTAGTACCTCTTTCTTAGGTCGTGGCTCGCCCCTCCCGGTTCAAATCCGCAAACCACCAAATCCAAACGATCAGTTAAGGGTTACCTGAATATCTATTTGAATCTTGATACCAACCCACCCCCCCCCCGCCCCCAAAAAAAAAACAATGCCAAGTGTTGAGCACGATTCCTGGGCCCAAGAAGGTGCATCCAAAATTCGCGGAGGTGCCACCAAGCCTTTGCAACAGCTTGACCTGTAAAGGGTACCAACGGTTTACAGGGAGCTGAATCAGACCCATGCTGAGCTCACTTTTTGTGTGGATTGGACAAAAGTCTGAACTTTGTATTTACGACTAAACAGATCTTCTCAAAAAGTACCGGTATACAGTCCAGGAACTCAGCGAAGGTCCCCAATTTGTTGGAAACACCCCGCCCCACAATTGGGAGCACAGTGCCGGCAGAAGGTGGGCCCACACATCCTTAAACCGGCCTCACGGCCCCTCAGCCGGGTCCACGCCAGATGACCTGCAAAGAGACAAGAAACAGTTCAACCAACATAGTAATTTGGTGTGAGAACCTCTCAAAAACAATGAGGCTATTCTGGGCTTCCTCACCATGGAAATCCCTGCTTCAGATTCCCCCCCCTACCAAAAATAGAGAGTTTGGTTTCTGTTGACCCCTCTGCAAAAAAGTCGTTCACTTTTCGCGTGTCCAATGGAAAATCCGAACTGTTTCAACCAAAAAGTTTATTTCTAAAGATCCAACAAACACCTCGACCACGCTGATCCCCGCAGAGGGTCGCAATCCCGATCGACGATCAAAGTCCTGCCCCGGCGCCCTAGAAAGCTAAACTTAACTTACATAGCTGCTAACGCCGAAGCGCTACGCGCTTGGCCTCTATGCACTTGGCTCTATGCACTTGGCTCTATGCACTTGGCTCTGTGCACTTGGCTCTACGCACTCGGCTCTATGCACTCTTTTTTAAAGCCACCACACAAAAGCTGTCCCCCCTCAAAAAAAAGAAACAAAGAAGGGAAACAAAAGAACAACACCAAACGAGCCGCCCGTACCTCGCTCGCTAGAAAAAAAAGAGCATATAGAAACAAAAAGGAAACACACAAGAACGAGAAAGAAACAAATACGCCGGCGGACCGGCATCCATCGACATCCACCGAGCCCAGCGCCCATGGCCTCGTCATCGCAGTGCAGCGGCCCAAGCCAGCGGCCCCAGATCTGCCGGGCCTGGGACGAGGCTCCGCCGACTCGTTCGAAGAAGCTGCGACCGAGGAAGAAAAGTGACCGGCACGGCGATGTTAGGACGACCAAGAAGAAGATATCAAGGTCAAGTGTTGAATTGTTTGGCTTGGTTGAGTAGTATTTCTTTCTTTAGGCATATTAATGGTCACTCTCACTATCAATTGGTGACTTTTTCCTGATTTTCCCCAACAGGTTTGGAGGAGACCCCCAGAAGTGAGGGTAAAAATGTTCAGGTTTTGGACACCTAAGCTGCCTGTCTGGAAGCTTCAGAGATTTTTTCCCCAACAGCTGAAGGCTTTGGGGTCTCAGGCTCCGGAGGTCTGGGGCGGCCCTGAGGTAAGGTTCCACAAGGGTTCCACCAGCGTTCCACAAGCGTTCCACGAGGTTTTGCGAGGGCTGCGGGGTGGTGTTTGCATGCTGTTGGGGATATCACCTGAGCTTATTTTTTGGCACGGCAGCTCTAGAAAACCGGCTTGGATGTGGGGAGTCTGTGGATCCACCCCTGTAGAATAAGATTACCAAAAAAAGGACCAACAGGGGGAAGAACCGGTGAAATCCACAAATAGGGGGGTCATTACCCTCCCACCATGTTCACATGGAACCTTCCTGAAAGGGACTGGGCCCCTGTCAGATTCCATGTTAGTTTGTGGAGGGTAGTTGTATCAAAGCCAGAAATCGAAACAGGTGCCCTGGGGCTTAGTAACCACCAATAAAACAATGGTTGGATCAATACAACCATTACTATTTGCCTAAGGAGTTTCATCATCCTGACTGAAATCGGACGGAATGAGTTTCCCATTTTGATCGGAACAGCTGCCCCCCCCCCCAAACACTGCTTTTTGGGCAGTACTTGGGACTTTGGACAGTTGTTGGGGGTTGTTGGTGGGTCATCTTTTCTTGGAGTCGCAGGATGTTTCGGTCCCACTCGTCCCGAAATGGGTGGCAAAGGTTCAACTTGGGTTCAACATGGGGGGCCTGCTCAGGCAAATCCTCAAACAGCTGGTCTAACTTTCCAGGCAAATGTGTTTCCAATTGTCTGGCTGATTTGAATGGGTGGGTCATTTTTTGGGGGGAGCCCCCAAAATGCGTGCCATGCCAACCGTTTCAAAAACAAACCCAGATTTGTGCGTCATTGTTCGAGGGCGCCTTTTTCTTGGATGGCTTTAAACACGAACAAATTGAAAGCCATCAGTTTTTTTGTTTTAAGAAAAACAACTCTGAGACACGCCCAACATGCAAATCCTTTCAGCGGCGAATGATCCCCAAACCCTTCGCCCACCTCCGCACCCGCGCGGTCGCGCACCACGCCCTGCACGTCGTCCTACGCGACTTTTGTCTGCGATGCAGACGCAGGGGCGCTACCCGGTGATCCGTGTGGGTTCTGGCGAATGGGTTGGGTTCATCCTCCATTTGCTTTTTCGTCCCCAGGTTTTTTTAGAGGACATGTCCAGTAGTGACATCGATTCCCTTTAAAACCAACAGGGGACAATAAACAAAAACAACTCAGCCAATGGGGTCGTCTTATGTCTCCATCTCACAAGCTATGTCTCCGATCATTAGAACAGTTCAACGGGTCACCCCTGGCCTTGACTGAGGCAGGAAGTCACCTGGGAGCAGTATAGCAAGTTCCCTTTCATCCCACCAAAACCAATGCGGCCTTTGTCCTATTGCTGGCTACTGGGGGGGACTGAGGTAGAATCCTTTGGGTGATAGCTCAGAGAACTTTAGCCTGCCTTCCTTATGGCTTGGCAAGGTGTTCAAGCGTCAGGGGAGCAGGCAACTAAGGTTACAACTGGCTTTGTCTCAAAGTAGGTGCACCCGAACAAGTTCTGGTGTTCCCTTCAGTTTCCGATTGAACCCACGCAAAAGGTGCTCTGAGAGTTCCCTAGCCAAGGTCGCCGGACTGAGGTCAAGTCGCACCCCCAACTCCCAAGATCCCCGCTGCAAATTTACCAAGGAAACACTATGCAACAGGCCACACCCGCATGCAGGTGGATTTGTTCGCTCCCTTGCGCTTCTCAGGACTCTCCGGATCACACCTGCCTTTTGAGCTAAGGACCTAAGGAACATCATGGCAAAATGTAAATGGGCAGTGTTTGGCAGGTCAAAGTCTCCAGTTCCCCGAAACTCTCTAACTGGTGGCTTCAGGAAATTACTCTTAACATTTACTCAAATGTACTTTTTGAGAACCCCGCCCTACGATCGCCAAGTTTGAAGTGGTATACCCCTCTTTTGTGGCTTTAAAGGGCATGTGGGGGGGTCCCCTAAAAAAGACAACCCCAAATTCAATGTTCATGGACCTTGGGGGGTGAACCAGCCAACCTCAGACGCCCAGTGGCCATGGGTACTCTGTTCTTGTTGGGCGAGTTGAAAGGGGAAGCCTTACCCAAAAAAAGGAAAAACTTGTGGATTGCACCAAAATATGAACGTTTTGACAGTTCACCACCAGACAGAATTCTTTCCAAATTTGGCACCCTCACAGGGGTGCCAGATGGCAACCCCTCAAGCGTGCCAAAATCTGGGATGGGCACCACTCCCGGAGCCGAAAGCCGGGCCTTGCCGGCCTTTCCGAAGTGCAGCACGCACTGGCACCAGAGCGGCCGGGAGAACTTGATCGCCCGAAGGCGAGAGGGCACCAATTGGGGTCACATGGCTGTGGGTCACATGGCTGTGGGTCACATGGCTGGTACCACAAATGGAAGCCTGTTAAATGGAAAGAAGGATCAAAACCTGGTCCCCTGGCTTAATTTTGACCCATCACATGGAAAGCAGGACTAAACCTTGCATTTCCTGGCGGTTTAATTTTGACCCATACCCACATGGAAAGCAGGACTAAATCCTTGCATTTCACCCTTGACATCACCCCACTCAGGAAGCTCAGACTTTCAGGCCGAAAAGGTGATGTTTCTTTTTTCCACCCGAAAGCCTTCGAACCCCAGGTGTTTTTTTGGGGCAAATATACGGCCCTGGAACCACCAGGTAAACCAGGAATCGCCCTAAATCTATGTTTCGACCAAAACACCCAAAAAGGACACCCTAAAGCCTTCGAAACCTTCTGTTTCCTCATGGACTGCTTGGCCATCTGCCTTGCTTCTTCAAAAGAGAACCTGCCATGCGAACCATTGCTCGCTGGCCGCGGACAAGAAGAACCTGGCTGCCAAGAGGAAAACCACATATCAAATGGACAGGGGTCCGTTGGATTTCCCCTTCACAAGTGGCAATTGACTGGCGATTTCCCCACTTTTGGAGCTTCCAAAAAGGGAAATGGACGAAACGCTGGTGCAGGATATTAGTCAAAGTAGCGCCCCGACTCAACTGGTTGTCGTGGCTTCCTTTGAACATCCGGCTGACGACAGGAACAGTAACAGGAACACCTGTTTGAGGTGTCCCCATGGGAAAAACTGACTACTGAACTAAGTTCAAATGAGAAATATTTCATCCCTTGTCAGGTCTAAACTGTTTGTTTGCCACCAAAATGGCAACCAAACCCAAAAGTTTTTGAGGTCCAGGAGCTCGGGGACTGAGTGGTGTGGTATCAGTTGCCCTTCCTTCTTGCAAGACCTAATCTCGCGGCTCTATAAAAAGGGGGCCATGCCCTGAGACTCTGGGGATGAAGGAAAGCAAACGGGATCACAAGAAGCTTTGTAGACCTAGGCGTTGTCAGAGTGGCAGCAGGCCGCCGACTTGATTGCCGCTCTGTCAGATTCACATGGGGAAGCTGTGGCTCTTGGAGGAACCCTGGCAGAGTCACAGCATCACTGCCACCTCATCAGCATCCCTCGCTCTGGATGGGAACTTTTGAGGCCCTTGAGGGTTGGTGAGTAGGGGCCCCCATGGTGGCGCCTGCAAATGCGGGAAAGCCATGGGGTCTGGAAACACGGCTCGAGCTTTTGACAACAAACCATCAGGGGTCCCTGGATTTCCCTTTCAGCAGTTGCAATTTACTAGTGGTTTCCATTCAATCGATCGCCACTTTTGGAGGTTCCAAAAAGGGGAAATGGCTCGGAAACCTGACCATGGCCCCTTTGAAGGGTAGAATCGCACCGCGAATCGCCAGCTTTTCCAGCCCCAAAAATTCCGGGCGGTCAGGCGCGAGCGCGCGTTTCCGCCTGCGTGCCATCATCGGCAGTGAAGGTGGAGGTGCCTCATGCGAACGTCCCCGCCCCGCAGCTCGCTGAAGTTCGTTCAATGGGCTCCAATGATCAAGTGGCGCCAAAGGCACCACCTCCAGGTCCAGGGCACGAAGAAATTTGCACCCTTCGTTGTTGGCCACCTTTGAGGGACAAACGGGTACAAAAAGTCTCTTTCAAGTTTTGGGGGGAAGCCCCGGGTAATACACCATGAGAGGCGAAGAGCCCGCAGCCGGCATTGGAACACACCACCCACACCGTCAAAAGAAAAGCAAAGGACACCCCCCCCCCAAAAAAAAAGAGAGGCAATATCCCTCTTTTCTCGGTAGGTTGTTCAGAGGGAACCCCCACCCCCCAAAAAAAAAACGGTGCCGCCGGAGGTCTGGGAAGCTCGAATGACACGGTCGCCGATTCGCGTGGGGGCAGCGATCTGAGCGCCCCAAGCCCTGCCACCGGAAGACGGAGCCGGCGCCGAAGGTGTAGCCACTGGCGAGGCGAGTCGGAAGGAACCGGACTCAGCACGTGGCGGGCAACCAACCGAAATGAGTCTCTCTTTTTGTTGGACCCCCCCGCCCGGTATGATGGACACTTAGGGTCTATTTTTGCAACCTTCTTCATTTGGGGTATTGGTTTCTTGGGGTTGCAGGCCCTCAAAGAAAAAACAACAATCAACATGTAGTGTTCCTGTTGGCTTCCCCATCAAGAGCTGCCTGGATTTGCCCTAAGGTTGATCAACTTACGGGTGCTGTCCATTGAAATGATAGACACTTTTACGACCCTCCACAAGGATATGGAGGAGCCCTGTATGTAAGGGTCAAAATGAGTGTCTTTTTTAAGGGACTCCCTTGCCCCCCCCCAAGCCATCGGAGGAAAAAAAAGTCCCCTCAAAAAGTACTTTTGCCCATACACGTTAAGTCGCATGGACCTGGGGTTGAGGGGAAGTTCCGATTTTCTTCAACCCCTTCAATCAGCCCAAAGGGCTTAAGTCCTTGGCTACGGGAGAGGCCAGTTCGCAAGCCTGGACCCACCTGGGCATTAAAGCGCCACTTGTGGGACCGAAAGGAAATTCGCTTTTCGAAGATATCCTTCTATCCACCAGCTGGAAGACAATGCTCCTTGTAAAGAGGGACCCTCTGGTGGGTTCCCTGTTAGTTGACAGGAGGGTAAAAGGGAAAACCAACAGATATGATTAAAAGGTTGATTCGCTGAGAAAACATGTGTTTCGCTGTCCGTAAAGCCAGGTTGATTCGCTGGGAATACATGTGCTTCGCTTTCCGCAAAGCCAGGATAAGTCAAAATGTGATGTTTTTGGGTGAAGGCAACCCCCACCAACTCTTCCCCTTCTTTGGAACTGTTTAAGTTCCATACCCTACCTCACAAAAAATAGGCTCCTTACACGGGTGAAGCAAGTTGCCATTCCACCAGCTCAGTTCCGGATCTTTGGAGTGGCGGTATGGCAGATCTCGAGGAAGCTCTGTCCACTGTCAGAGCCCAACGGCCGAAGCCCGGCAAGCCCGGGCTTCAATCTCGTTGCCGTACACATAGGGCTGCAAGATGAAAATGCTGGGTAGACATCGTTCACCAAACTGTTTTGACAGCGTTCCCATAGTTCCAACAAGCACATCATCACCCACTTTGTATTCATTGACATTAGGCCCCAACGTCCGTTTCTTGTGTCTTGGCCCCATTTGCCAATGGTAATCTTGCAATACCCTCCGCGCGATATGTTCCACTGCGAGGAAAATGACGACAAAACACCAGCCATGGCCGGATGGATTGCGTTTGTGCCCCCTGCGCAAAAAGTTCATTTGCTCCCACATCGCTGTGGTTGGTAGAGATACCGATCTAAGACGAGCACTAAAGGTGCGGACAAATAATTATTTCCTTCAAAGTTAAAGTCTAACTGTCTGGTGATTGGACACCTCCATTTTGCTCGTTTGCTAGTTGGTAAATGGGCAGATGCTCATCGCCTGCTCTTTTACTCATCCCTTTAAAAACCCAAACCAAATGCAACCCAAGGAGGCGCCCTGTGTTCGACTCATCCCTGTGCCTCGGCCCCACGCAAAGCTCCGGCATTGTAAAGCGCACACTGGCGAAAAGCGGAAAGCGGGCGAGCGGAAGGGTCGCCGAAGCTACCTGACAATCAGGAACCCCAAAGAAAGACATGGGTTGGACGATTTTTTTGAGGGAGCCGTTTGTGGGAGGCGGTTTCAAAGGGACACCCAAAGGAAAACATTTTGGGAATCCCACAAAACAAGCAGCTTGTCCTGCCCCTAGCTCGCAATCATTGGTGCAAATACCTCATATGGCCATGGGTCAAAATCCCGTACCCCC